CTCATTTGGCATTTAACAGCATGGGTGAAAAAAAACAATCAAATTAAAATACTTTGGGGGGATGTTTTACACTTTCCACATAAGAGGAACGAAAATAACCTGTTGTAAAATTATTCACAAATACAGTCCTCGAGTTTTTTGCCCATTCACACGACTTTTGTCTAAAACATGTTTTCCTGTACCAGCCTGGCCCTGCCACCACTGTGCTTGGCTCAGTTCACACAAATGTGATGTAACCTGTAGTTTCCCTGGCTCTCCTCTCCTGACAATTTAGAGTGAGGCACAAATGGGACCAAACATGATAGAAGTCTCAATAGTTCTTTATTCATTTCAATTGATTAGATCTACCCATTGTTGAAAGGGGACTATTTAAATTGTTTCTATTGTAATATTGTATTTTCTGACTTCAGATCTTATATTATTTGCTTAATATACTGACCTAATATGCTTAGGGGTCTGTGGTTGGATGCATAGTAATTAAAATTATTATCCTCTTGATGAAAAGACTCCTTTTTTCATTTTATGGTCATAGCTTTCTCTTGTGAGAGTATGTGAGGTCATCTTTTTGTCTGATACAATTTTATTTTTTAACTAATTTTTTAAAGACTTTATTTATTGATTTATTTTTAGAGAGAGGAGAAAGGGGAGAGAAAGAGAAGGAGAGAAACATCAATGTGTGGTTGCCTCTCATGCGCCCCCTGCTGGGGACCTGGCCGGCAACCCAGGCATGTGCTCTGACTGGGAATCAGACTGGCAACCCTTTGGTTCTTAGGCCTGCAGTCAATCTGTTACAGAACAGAGGTCCAAGGAAGGGCAATATTTGGCCCTTCCAGGGACACCAAAAACTGTTACAGAACGACAGGACCCCCGCCCCCAAGGACGGCATACTAATACCGTCTGGACCACCTACTGGGCTCATGTGTCTGCCACCAGAGAAAAGATGTCTCTCAATGCTGGAGATTTGTGAAAAGCAAAGGAAAGGTTTATTTAAAGCTATACTGACTTAAAGTAGCGACCCATTGTCCTCATTAAAATATCAATGTTTTTTAGGATAACCAGAGATGCCCACAGTGCTTCTTTCTCCCCCTGCCCTAATTCGGGGTACCATGACTCCAGAAAAGAAGCACACGTCTGTGTTTCAGGCCGCTGACACCATCAGCTATATTGCCTTCCAGGTAGGATCTCTACTCCAAAGCCACGTGGCACCTTCTCGTGGCCTACTGGCAAAGAGCTCTTTCACCCTTCTTCCAGGCAAAGTGCTTCCCAGGCCATGCAGCCAAAGGAAGCACTCCAAAGCCATGTGGTCCTCTTCTACCAGAGCTGCGGGGTATGCACTCGGGTGAAAATCCCATGGGTCTTTCCTTCACCAGAGCTGCGGAGAGGGTAGGGTTGCCGCTCTGGCAAAGCCAAGTGATGACTCTGCTAAAGCCACATGGTGGTTCCCCCTACTAAAGCTTCAGGGGTCCCCACTCTGGCAAAGCCTTGTGGCTCTCTCTCTGCACTGCCACAGCCACGTGGTTCCCTCTCCTTTAATGTCTGCCATATCTAGGTTTAAATCCCCTGGGGCTGGTCCTCCTTTGCAGCTCCATTTCTGACTCCTCCTACAATCAGCTACACTTGCCAGCATTCCTGTATTATTCTAAGTTTACTGCACTCCCATCGGTGAGTCTGGGCAGGTGTGGCCCCATGTCATGGAGCCAATCATCTCCAAGCTCTCAGGCAGGCCCTGTAACTCAGGGGACCTGCCCCCAGTTATGTCTTTTGTGGAAGTCACTTCCATCCCCCTGGCTCAGAGCATAGCCCCAGCTACTTAACATATCTATGTAACCAGTTAAAGGTTATAGATATGTTAAATGACCCTGCCAGAGTTTAGCTGCAATGCCTTTGCTTTACAAAACAGCTCTCTATGGCCCTGCTCCATTAGTCCCTTCCGAAACTCACACCTGTGGAGAGGAAGGGGTGAGGACATCTTCATATTTCCTGGACACCTTGAGTTCTGGACTCCATTCCAAATCCCTTTTTGGGGCCCCCCTCTTGGCTACACCATTACAAATCTATTCAGCCATACCACCCAGGACTGGAGAGCTTTTTGATTGTTCCCACATAGGAGGGGTGGGGAAGTGGAATAGCTAACTAAGTGAGGGGATTAAAAAGTACAAATCAGTAGTTACAGAATCACCATGGGTATATGAAATATAGTATAGGAAATGAAGTAGCCAAAAACATATATGCATGAACCATATAAATGAACAATGATTGGGAATGGGGGGAATGGGTGGAGCGATTAGAAGACCGTTGTGCGTGGCAGGGGCCCAGCTACCACTTGGAGATGTACAGGACCCATGCCCACAGATAGGTTCTCCCGTGGGGAATCAGGCCTGCAATGTGCCTAGGCCACTTTGAGTCTCGCTTTTTGCTAAAAACTTCCTCACCCAGATTTGTGGCAAACATTTACTGCAACACAACTTCCTAAAATTTATGCTAAACCTTCCAAGGACCAGTATAACTGGTCCAACCACTTTTGCCTTTTCCTTTGCTAATATCCTTCTTCTGTGATGTGATTAGCAGCATTGGCTCCTTTGTTGTATGTAAAAGGTAACCACCTAAAGCAAGCTGTGCATAGTAAATGAGGACCATCTTGTAATGTGCCCAGAGATCCAATAAAGGCCAGTCAAAGCAAGGGCCATGGCTTTTTGCTCCCCTTGAGAGGGGCCGGAGTCCACATCAGAGTGAGGCAAAAGAAAAAAATTAGGACTATGATAAAGGCATAATCAATGGAATAGGAAAAAAAGGGGAGTAATTGAGGTGTATAAAACAAAAAAAATAACTTTTCTCTGGTGTTTTTTTGCACAGTCATGTGCATTCACTCTCTCTATCTTCGGTGCTTTTAGGCAGCGCCTGCAGGTTCAACTACTATGATTTTTATATCTTTGTCTGGGTCAAGATTATGCTGTGAAAATTTCATCTAAATCAGTTGGTAGACCATCTTCTGTGTGCCCACTGTGTCCACTATCTGGATACAGTTCATCCTCCTCTTGAACATAAACTTGCTGACTACACCGTCAAACTAAGAGGGGTCCTGATGCATGTCTTGGTAGGTGGCACCCACCCAGCCTATAGCCTTTGACAGCAGAGGCTGGTAGGGCTTGTTGGGCTGGTAGGGCATATGGGGAGTGTGCTTAGCATTTCCAAAGCGACTCCACATAGGCTGAGTGAATGATGTCTTGAATCAAGGCTGTCATTAACTTTGCAATGTTTTAAAACCTGCAATGACCTCAGGCAGTCCAGATTTGAAAAATGATTTGAGACTGCCACTTTAACACCTCGTGCAATCAAAACAGGAAAAAAAAGACATATTAAATTTTTTAATAGAAAAAGATCTATTGCAAAATTGCTATTGATTTTTAAATTTTTACAACATATATGCATACCCATAATTTTAAACAATTTTAATATATTTTATTGATTATGCCATTACAATTGTCCCATTTCCCCCCTTTATTTTTAACAATTTAATTAATTAATTTTAATAAAGAGAAACATGAATTTGTTGTTCCATTTATTTATGCATTTATTGGTGAATCCTTATAGGTGCCCTGATAGGGGGTCAAACTCAACACCTTGCTGTTAAGGTTGACCCTCTACCCAACTGAACTACTTGGCCAGGGCCCATATTTTCTTGTTCAGTGTAATATTTCATGTAATATAAAGGAATTCTCATCCTAATATAAGTCAACTTTCATTATAGATATGTATTTCTATATTTATTCTAGTTCTTGAATATGTTCCTAATCTTATTAAATTGACAATGCCATACTAACCATCTCACCTGTATATCAGTAATTATGTGTGAAACTCACAAACTCTGTTTCAATATGATAATTACAACACCATTTTCACACTGACAAAAATACCAAGAACTTTGTCAGAATTTACTTCTGCCAGTTTTCCAACAATTAATTTCTTCATTGATATTGAAATTACAAGTAGACTCCCATTTCTTTTATATCATTCATTTTTATTTAAATTTCAAAGGTTTGTCCTATGTTCCTGTGACATTTTTGTCATACATAGTTTGGGATAACTAGGTTATTCATCTATGTTTCAGATTTCCTAATGTGGGCACATCCCCATTTATTGCAATGCGCTGTGTTGAACTGTAAACACGTTTGAAACAACAGAGAGGCAAGAGCCTCCACCAGCAAAAGACTAAGTTGAGTCACATGCCACTCAACCAAAGCTCACACACTGGTTTACATTTTTTAATCAATAAAATATTTTTAAGTTAAGGTATGTATATTTTTATTTCTCACCTAGTGTTATTGAATAGTTAAGAGACTGCGATGTGTATTTTGGAAGAAACTAATTAGTGTGACTAGCTTTATTAGCATATTTGGTTGGGTAATCTGGAACTTTACTTGCACTTTCTAGGCTGAATTCCTGTAATTCACGTCTTTGATGTCTTCAACATGTACTCCACTTTGGGGGGAAAAAAGTGCAATTTAAGTTAGAGGCATATCAAATCAGTGAGGAATCCAGTCACACTGCAGCTCAGACACAGCTAAGATTTCTGGCTGCATCAGGCACAGATGCACTTAAATATTAGTGTTTATTCATTACATTTAATTTGCACTGCGGGTCGGCTGGACAGAGACTATTGGGGACTGGAGCAACATCCCCCAACCACAGTCGCCTGAAGGAGGCAGTCAAAAACCTAGCGATCGTAGCAGAGACTTCCTCGCCCAAGAAATGATGTTCACCGGGGCGGCTATAGAGCAGCTTTAATATTTTCAGGGTATTCTTGGGGTGTACAGCCGCAAACGCACCCCTGGAGTCCGCTAGGGAAATACAGGACCCCAGCCTTGGAATGTGCAACTTATATGAACCAGGAGGTAGGCGTGGAAATATCTCGGGGCTGAGCCAATAAAGACCCAGTTTCCCTGGGGCCATCCTGTAGGGCGGGACTTCCGTTGGTCACCTGCCGCACACTTCCTCTTCTCTTAGTTTCTGTTAGCCGCTCAGGATCTCGTGGTCACAGGATGGAAAGGAGAAGGCGCCAAAGCTCTCTTCCCTACAGAAGGAGTGAGGCCAAGTACGCTGCCCGGGTGTCCGGCTTCAGCGTTGGGACAGTAACCCCAATATCAGGGACAGGCCCTTCGCTCGCCGGTCCAGCCCCTCTCCGGGCACGGAGTCCGATGGCGGCGACCACGCTGAGGCGCGTGGCTGAGGTGAGTGAGCGTCCCCGGGCCCTCCGCCCTCAATCCACCGACCTAAGCACCCCGGGTGCAGGGCGCCTGTCAGGACCTACAGTCCAGGCCTGGGCGTCGGGGATCGTAGGCGCTACTGGGTGACCCACGGCGCCTACGGTAGTAAATGGCGGGTAAGGCGAGGGTGACCCGCGGATGTGTCGCCTGATAAACACGTGCAGGTATCGTTGAGCCCAAAGACCCGCACGCCTGGGGTCCGCCTTATATCTGCTTTAAACAGTCTATGGCGGAGAGTCCCGTCCGGCCTGGGAGGCAGAGGTGTTGCACTTTCTAATGGTCCTGGGAGCCCGGGATATTCGTGAATCGAAAGAGACACAGGCTGTGTCGTGGTTTTGAAAGCCTTTCAGATTCTTGTCAAATAGAAAACCGACGGGCGTGTGTAATGAGGACAGTGAAGGGGAGTCCTTATCCAAGGTCGCCGAGCTGGTAAGAGGCCTCGCTGAGGAGAGACACTTGGCTGGAGGTCTCCAGACTCCAGGGCTGGCCCGAGATACAGCTAAGACCTGCTTACCTGGAGCTGAGGGTGGTTGATTTCTTCTTCCCACAGGTTCTGAAGTTGAAAATCATTATCAAACTAGACAAGGAAGGACAGAGTGTTCCAGTCCCTGCTAGGTGGTGGCATTACCTTATAGTGTCTAATGATACTTCCCTCGGTAATTTTCCAACTTTCAAATAAGGAGACCGCGGGGATATGCGAATCCTAAATGCAGGTGTCAGGAAATACCAAGGTGCTCCCATTTCTGATGTCAGCCTAAGAAATATTCAAACTGTAGAGACATTTTAAGTTTATTTCAGCCAAACTGGTGACCATTTTCAGGAAACAAAATGACAACGGAGTGGGAAAATGCTTCCGGAAATGGCAGTTTTACCATTTATTTTATACATCAGAATCAGAAAGGAAGATGTAAGTTGGGAACTTGAAATCCATTGGTGATCATTTAGGGAAGTAGGAGAAAACAAAGCAGGATAATCCGTGGTATTAAATAAAAGGTAGAGATGAATGGACACAGAATTCCTTTACGTTACTGGGTATTAGATAGTTAATCTTTAATTTACACAATAATAACAGGATGCAGTATTTGGTCTCTGCTGTGATTCAGTGTTTGTGCCCTGAGGGCACAAGAAGAAAGGAAAGGAAATTATCCTCACTTTCCAAGGGTGTGTTAAGGAAGGTGCTAAAATACTAAGATGGGCTCAGGAAAATTAAAAATTTAATTTCTTAAGGGAAGAATCAGGCCCAAGACAAAAATACTTGCCATGACTTGCTTTTGGTTAGAAAGGTGTCATTTCAGACCTGATATAGGGGTATTTTCTGTCTTTCAGTTTGTAAGGCCATCTGGGAGGAGTCCCTTAAGCTGGTCACGTTTAGTATGTGCCCCCTCTTGTTATTTGTTCTTGGTCCACACACGCAGCCAGTGTAAGCATTGAAGGCAGGTTGTCTGGAACGGACATCTGCACTTAGTAATGGTTGGAGATGCCACAAAGCTGGGAATGGGTACCTCAGGTCTCCTCTGTATTGAAAACAAGACTTAAGGGGGTCAAGAATCTGACTTCTAAAGTGGCCAGTTGATAATTTGGGTATCTATTAGGAAGATCATGGGGCATTTGCATAAGAAAAAAAATGAGTCGGTCTCCTGGTGTAACCCTGCTCCATTTGGATGCATACTGCAGAACCTCAAATGGGGGTTAATGGAGGAGGCAGGGAGCCCTGGACCAGGTGAGTTCTCTGCTCCAGAGGAGAGCTGATGGACCCAATTGGGCCCCAGAGGTAGGAGAAAAGGTTGAATTCTTTGTCCATCTTTTCTTTTTCTTTTTCTTTTTTTAATTTATTTTTTCCCACTATTATTTACGTCCCTCATACCTTCTTGCACCACCATCCACACCCCTCCTCTTTACATTTTTTTAAAGAAGGGCAAGTATAGTTTCAGATTTTTCAGCTGCAGGAAGAAAGGAAGGGGTTCAAAACCACTCCAGCATTTTTGTTCCTAGCAGCTGAAGCAGTGGAGGCTCCATCCACTGGGTTGGGGAAGGTGGTGGTAGGTTAATTCTCTTTGTGAATATTAGAAGGTTCTTTCAGTTCACACTTTTATCAGTTACAAAGAGCAGTAAGTGGAAACATCTTTTGAGCAGCTAGTACTTTGGTCTGTAAATAATGGAAGTTAATACAAAAGTGGTGACTCTTCTATGCAGGAGGGTAAAAAGGGCAGAGCTGAGGGAGTGAACCTGGGGTGTGAAATTGTGAAGCAGGGAGAGATCATACAGTGGAATGCACAGCTAGACAGTGTGAGCCGACGGTCCTGGATTCTTGGTGTTTGGATTTAAGGATGAAGCCTATGCCCATTTATGGCTGGGTTTAGAGGCCTTATCTGGGAGAATCAGTGAAACTATTTAGAAGGTAGAAAGGGGCCCTAAAGGCATGGCTCTGAGTTTAAATGGCATTCATCTGCCTCACTTCCTCTCATCCTTCCTGCTTTTGCTGCAGGCGATGTTTGTGATAAATGAGACTGATGAGAGACAGCAGGCAGCTCTGGCAGGAAGCTCTGGTGTCTTCTCTGATGGGTGGCACTGGAAGGGTTTGGGCCTGGGTAAGAGTATGATGGGGGCATCAGACAGACTGTTCCACATTCATGTGTATTAATTGTGACAGGTTCTTATGACCTTTGGGGATATAGCCGTGTACTTCTCCAGGAAGGAATGGCTCCTCCTGAATGAGGCTCAGAGACGCCTGTACCTCGATGTGATGCTGGAGAACTATGCTCTTATATCATCTCTGGGTAAGACACCGACTCTCCCTACATACTCTTCTTTGCCTGTATACCCCTTTCTCAGGGTTGTAGCTTGCTTCTTCTATGCAAAGCTCTAAGTGTCCTCACCTGACTTGTACCCAGGGGGTGGTGGATAGCAGCGGCTGGTCTCAGGCTTGCCGTGTCTGCAGGGTTCCATTTTCTTGTGGTTAATTGTGTCAAATTTTAATAAACTAACTGTTAAAAAAAATCACTATTTCACAGTGATCTGTACAAGGCTTTGCATTTCCTTCGTGCCCTTCATTCCTCAGGGGTTGCTCTGTCCTCTCATGTGGTCTTTGGGCAATATATGCTTCCCCAGTTCTTTCAGTCAGGTTTTGAGGCTTTATTTCCCTGCATAGAACCCTGGGTTGCAGGGTCTGTCTTGCTCTCCAGTTGTTCCTCCTGGTTTATCTGCATGCTACTCTGGGACCTCCTACTCCACCAGTCACTGCCTTGCCTTGAGTCCTCTCCATCTCTGCCTGGTGTAAGGTATGGATGAATGTTTCTTCTTTAACCCCTTGGTTGTCGGATGTCCGTACAGTTGGATTTTTCTGGCAGTCCTGGTTATTTTTTATTTCATGCCAGATGTTACAGGTGCAAATGAGTGATGAGAAAACCTGCCTGTAGGTCAGTATGTACTTTACTAGCTTTTGTTTTTCCTCAGGTTGCTGCTGTGGAGCAGAGGATGTGGAGGCACCCAGTGAACAAAATATTACTGTAAGAGTCTCAAAGGCTGTGAATCTTAAGTCAGCACACTCTTCCCAGAAGAGCCACCCCTGTGAGAGTTGTGGGCGTGTCTTGAGAAATATTTTCTTCTTGGTTGACCAACAGGGCCCAACACTCCTGAGGTGTGGGGCGTGTGCAAAACCATTTTATTTCAGTGCGCAGACTCACCAGCAGGGCACAACACAGAATGGTTTCATAGGAAGTGTGGACAGAGTCTCACTTGAAAACAGCTGCAAGTTCTATGTGCCCAGGGAGCCTTCTAGCTCTAGTCAGGTCGGAAAATGCTTGCTCGTCAGTTCCGGGCACCGTGAGCAACTGGCTGCTTGGTCCATGTCTAGGAGAAACAAAATCTCTAAGTTTGGAATGACTTTTAACACTACAAAATATTACATACCAAGGCAAAGCAAGAAGACCATTGGTGGTGATGACAAACTTGAGAACCAGAGATTCCTTACTAGAAGAAAGTGTTTTTTGTGTTGTGAATGTGGGAAGTCTTTTATCAGAATTTCTGCCTTCCGTGCTCATCAGAGACTTCACACTAGAGAAAGGGTTTATAAATGTGGTGAATGTGGGAAATCATTTACACAAAATATCATCCTCCGTCGTCATCAGAAAGTTCACACTGGAGAAAGCCTTTATGAGTGCGGTCAGTGCAGAAAATCTTTTACCCATAGTAGTTCCCTCCGTCTTCACCACAGAGTTCACAGTAAAGACAGGGCTTATGAGTGCAGTCAGTGTGGAAGATCTTTTCCTAGTAGGTATGCTTTTCATTGTCATCAGCGAGTTCACACTGGAGAAAAACCTTACGAGTGCAGTGAATGTAAGAAGTGTTTTAGACAGAGCTCCACCCTTATTCAACACTACAGAGTTCATTCTGGAGAAAAACTGTTTTAGGAAACTTACGAGTAGCTCTGCCTTTTGTCATTGAAGTGTTTACACTGGATAGAGGCTTTTTGAGTGTGGTAAAGTTCAGAAATCTTTCACCAGTGATTCTGCTGGTATTATCAGAGTTCACAAAGGAGAGAGGCTTTATGAGTGCTCAGAATGTAGGATATCTTGTAGCTGTAGCAATCCACCCATATTAATATCAAACAGTTCACTGAAAAGAAAGGCCTTATGAGTACAGTGACTGAAGATTATCTGTCACGATAACTTCCATTGTCATCTGCTAGTTCACACAGGAGAATGGTCTTTTGGCTGCAGTGACTGGGAAGTCTTATATCAGTAATTTCCATTATATCAGTTTACACTGTAGAAATGCCTGTTGGGCGCTGTGAATATGGGGAATCATGGCTACTGGTAAGATTCCCCATATTCTCAGTGATTGAATTCACAATTCACAATGATTGAGTTTTTATAAGTTAAGTAACTTTGGAAAATCTTTTGTTGTTTTGTTGTATTTTTGAGAGTTCACAGAGGTGAAAGATTTTATATATATATGCAATGTGATAACTTTTTCTTATAACACTGAGCTCCTTTATTCAGAGATTCCACTCTGAGGAAGAGCCTTATGAGTACAGTGAATGTTGAAAATGCTTTTTCTATCCTTTTTACTTATCATCAGAGACGTCACACAGGATATAGGCCTTACGGGCACATCAAATTTAAATATTTTATGTCAGAGTCATAGTCACTTTGATCACAGTTCAAACTGGTGAAAGGCTTCACATGTAAAGTGAACTTGGAAAATCTGTAGCAATAAATTTCTACCCCTCAAACGTTGAAGTGTTCTCACTATGTAAATGGTTATATTTTGGGAAATGTGTTTTGTTTTTTTTTCCCAGTGCAGTGACACTGAAGAGAACTTTCTGAGGAAACCTCTGAATTTAATTTTATATGTTCACAGTGTGGACATGTCTCAGATTTTAATGTTTAAATTCTGAAGAACCTAACAAAGTAAGAACTAAACCAGTTGTGACTTTATACATTCTTACTCATAGTGTATGGTGGTGGTTTCTCCCCGTATAAAAATCTTGAGTGTTTTATATTTATCAGTTCTAGCTCTTTTTATATGTTCATCATGCTCTCTCTGTTGTTTTAGTTGCATTTCTCTGAGGATTTATAATGAGCATTTTTGTAGTTGTATATGCACTACTGATTTGTTTTTAGTATATTGTGTGCTCACATAATTTACCTATTGTATTCATTTCAGCTCACTCCTGTAACAGGATATAAAACAGTAAAGATCTGTGTTACAATGTTGCCAACTTTCATTCCTTCAGTATCGTAATTTTTCCTTTCTAGAAAATTGTGTTGTTGGAATAATTGTTTTTAGTGGAAAATATTTCCTAATTATTCAGAATTTTTTATGTATAAAAACATAGTAGTACATATCATATACTTTGCGAAATACTTTGCGTTATTAACACTCTCACTTTTATAAGTACAGTCATGTACTAAAAAGCAAGGGACTAACCACAGCCCTCAGGGAGGGTCAATCGAGGTTAACAAAATTCTGTAAACACTTACTGGTGGTAGTAGTATTCCAGGATTTGTTTTTTGATGATGATGATTTTTTTAATTCATCCATCAGTAGGTCCAGAACAGTTAGTGTCTCAGGAAATCAAATATCAGGAAGTTAAAGGGTTTTCTCAAGGTCACACAGCAGATGTCAGGTACAAGAGGCTTGATTTGAAGTCATTAGTGGGGTTCCAGAGCTGGGGACATTCTCTATTGTGGCATATTAAGGCCTCAGTGTACAGGGGATGAAGGCAGTAAAGACCAAGAAAATGGGAGACTATCAGTTGTTGCTCCTGTTTTCAATGTTTCAATTTAATGAAGTTTTTGCATTTTTCTAATGGGTTAGGATGGTTAACATCTACCTCACACTTTTCACGGAAACCCGATGTCTCAGTTCCAGTGGTTTCTCCTGGAGAAACTACTGAACTTTAGCTGCATTTTGTCGACGTGAGCACTGGCCTGCAGTGCTTGCGGCGTTATGAATGAAAAGTCAAGACAAATTCACACGGACTACCAAGTCCAGTGGAGGAAAAGGGACAGCACAGCTACTCCCTCAAGGGGGGAGAGCACCCGACCCTTGCCTAGACAGGCTTTTATGGGTTTTTTTTTTGCACAGGAGTTAAGGTACAACTTACTAATCATTGTCAGGCAGTAAACAGTAGATAGCATACAAAGAACTGTTACAGCTTCTAACTCAGGGTCTATCGGCTAAAAGGCTACAAAACTTTGGGAAAACAAACTCATTTTCTGTCCAGGCCTTTATCATTTAACTAAGAGCATTCTTGGCAAAGCAGGCTTTACAGAATTTTACATACCCTTTCTCAGGCCTAATCACCCATGCAGGGATCCTGCCCTTTCCAGCACAGGCTGCACCACCCTCTGGCATTGTTTCAGGCTTAAGTCAGGCAGAGGAGGCAGCCAAGGAATTCTCGGAAATTTATCACAGACAGACTGAGGACTTGGGCTTCGTCAAAGCGGAGGGGTGAGGGTCCATCACTCCTTTTCTCCATAGCCCCAAAGTCCTTCCTTGGGTCCTCCACGTAATCATGCCTGTCTTATCTTAGGTGGTTCCCCCCTTGGTGAATCTTACCCATGATTGGCTAACTGACCAAGCATTGGGGGCCAGTTATGGAAAAAGGAGCAGAAGCAGGGCTCCTGCCAGGGAGATAAGCTTTGTCTCCTTAGTGGCTTATGGGCCAAAGGTCACTCACTCAGCCTTAGCCATGGTGGGGTTACAGCTCCTGAAACCAGGCAGGGCGGTTCCTAACATTTTGTCTATCTGCTTTTAACACTAGGCAGTAACGAGTCCCTGAAGATTCATGGTAGATTCTTTGCATGTTCACCATTTCTACAAGGTAACTTTTGCATGACGGGCTTTGATTTTTATCCACTGGTGAATATAACACTTGAGTTTCACTTGTCAAGTGTTTCTGGTATATGCCACTGACATACACTGCAGTATTGAGGACAGGTGGATATGATACCTTGGGCATATGCAGAAGTGACCCTGAAGACCTATAGTGTTGTTATCTCCCGCCTGGAGTGTTCACAGGTGCCCACTTGATCCTGTACTCTGTCAGGACTGGCTGGAGGATACGATGGTGATCGCCATCTATTCTCTGCCTCCCTGACCATGTTCAGCAGTTGCATCTTCCTTTCCAGTGTCCCTGTGTCTGCACCAGAGATCTCTGGGTAGGACCGTAGTCCTGAACAAAAGCCCTTGCTACAATGTTCAGTGCACTGGTCATAACTGTGATTCTTAGTCCTAAATGCTCTATATGGTCAGATTAGCCATATTAAATTGAATCCATGTCTTGATAGTTTATGGGCTTTTTCAGAAGATGGTGAGTCCAGAGCATCTTTGATAATTTGCAATCTGTTTCCATGACATTTTTTCAAACAACATAATGCATTTAAAGGAACCAGGTGGCCTGTGTGAACACTGAAAATCTTATCCCTTGTCATTACTCCTCTCTGCTGTCAGTACAATGTCTTGGGTTAGTGCTGAATCTTTAAAAACCGTCTAAATGTTAGTTTCCATTTACTTCTGAGAGAGGGTAAGGGAAATGGAAAAAGAGAAACATCCAGGTGTGAGAGATACTTTATTCCTTCGCACATGACCACTACTGGTGACCTTGAGCAGAGTCTGTACATGTTCTGTGGCTTAGAAACAAACCGGTGACCTTCCAGTTCAAGGCTGGCATTCAGTCCACTGAGCCATACCAGCCAGGGCCAATAACTTTTTGTACATGAAATTTCTCACTGAATTTTCCGAGATATTTTTTAAACTCAAGATTAACATGTACTTGGAAATAGTGGTTAAATATAAAATGTATGTTTTTGTAGCAGGACGGCTGGGATACTGCCATCTGCGAAGGTTTCAAAAGAGCATGTGAACATGAGAAACACTTTGGATTCTGTATTTGTGCACCTTGTAGGGAAATGATCATCATTTCATCTGTCAGTGCAATACCAATTTCTGCATGGGAACTGGAGATTACTTCTGTAAAAGAGTTATGGGTTGGGCAGGACGGTGACCGTGGAAGTCAGAATCCGCTAAGGCGTGTGTAACCACTCACCTGCCGAATCAACTTGCCCTGATAATGGATGGCGCTGGAGCGTCGGGCCCATACCCGGCCTTCGCCCGCAGTCGGTGGTGCGCTAGCAGGGGACGCCTCCCACGGTGGGGGCCGGTGGGGCGGAGGCTTTCCCCCACCACCCCCCACCGCGCAGGGGGGCCCACACCCCCGCTGACGCTACACCCCAGGGAGTAGGAGGGCCGCTGCAATCAATGAGCCTTGAAGCCTAGGGCGCGGGCAGGTGGAGCGGCCGCAGGTGCAGATCTTGGTGGTAGCAAATATTCAAAGGAGAACCTTGGAGGCTGAAGTGGAGAAGGCTTCCATGTCAACAGCAGTTGAACGTGGGTCAGTCGGTCCTGAGAGATGGGCGAGCGCCCTTCCAAAGGGATGGGCGATGGCCTCCGTCGCCCTCGGCTGATGGAAAGGGAGTCGGGTTCAGATCCCCGAATCCGGAGACGGGCGCAGCGAGGCATCCAGTGCGGTAACGCGACCGATCCCGGGGAGAGTTCTCTTTTCTTCGTGAAGGGCAGGGCGCCCTGGAATGGGTTCACCCAAGGGGCGGCCTTGGAAAGCGTCGCGGTTCCGGCGGCGTCCGGTGAGCTCTCGCTGGCCCTTGAAAATCCGGGGGAGAGGGTGTAAATCTCCTGCCCGGCCGTACCCATGTCCGCCACAGGTCTCCAAGCGGAACAGCCTCTGGCGTGTTGGAACAATGTAGGTAAGGGAAGTCGGCCAGCCGGATCCGTAACTTCGGGATAAGGATTGGCTCTAAGGGCTGGGTGTGGGGCTGGGGCAGCGCCTTGGCTGGACAAGGCGCCCCCGATTTCCCCTACTCCAGGGGCCGCACCCGTGCCCCGCCGCCGCGTCCCGCTCCCCGCGGCCTGTGGTCCGCCCTCCTTAGTCTCCTCCCGCTCCCTCTCGGGCTGGGGGGGGGTCATGGGGGAGGGCGGGGGTGGGGGACAGGCGGGGTCCCCCCCTCCCCACCACCACCCCCATCCTGAGCGCGGGAGCCACCCTTACCCCCCTGGTCCCAACCCGCCGGGTCCGCCCCCCCCGACCGCGGTTACTCGCGGCGCCTAGCAGCCGATTTAGGACTGGTGCGGACCAGTGGAATCCGACTGTTTAATTAAAACAAAGCATCGCGCACCCCCGCAGTGACGGGTGTTGACGCGATGTGATTTCTGCCCCCTGCTCTGAATGTCAAAGTGAGGCAATTCAATGAAGCGCCGGTAAACGGCGGGAGGAACTATGACTCTCTTAAGGTAGCCAAATGCCTCCTCATCTAATTAGTGATGCGCATGAATGGATGAAGGAGATGCCCACTGTCCCTACCTACTATCCGGCGAAACCACAGCCAAGGGAACGGGCTTGGCGGAATCAGCGGGGAAAGAAGACCCTGTTGAGCTTGACTCTAGTCTGGCACGGTGAAGAGACATGAGAGGTGTAGAATAAGTGGGAGGCCCCCGGAGAAATACCACAACTTTGATCGTTTTTTGTTTTTTGGTTTTTTTTTCCACTGGCCCGGTGAGGCGGGTTGGGGGGTGGCCCCGAGGGGCTCTCGCTTCTGGCGCCAAGAGCCCGGCCGATGCGCAAAAACCCGCGACTGGCGCGGGGACAGTGCCAGGTGGGGAGTTTGACTGGGGCGGTGCACCTGTCAAACGGTAACGCAGGTGTCCTAAGGCGAGCTCGGGGAGGACAGAAACCTCCCGTGGAGCAGAAGGGCCAAAGCTCGCTTGACCTTGATTTTCAGTACGAATACAGACTGTGAAAGCGGGGCCTCACGATCCTGCTGACCTTTGGGGTTTTAAGCAGGAGGTGTCAGAAAAGTTACCACAGGGATAACTGGCTTGGGGCGGCCAAGCGCCACCACATAGGGACTCGCTTTTTGATCCTTGGATGTTGGCTCTTCCTATTGTTAGGCCCGGAATTAGATTAAAGTAGCCAAGAGGAACCCGAGGCAGGCTCCAGACTGACTCAGCAAGGAAGATAGAAAGTACAAAGAGTGCTGAACAAGATAAACCGCCTTATGCATGACCTTGTCTTTGCAGGAAAATATCCATTGTTGCAAGCAGAGAACATAGCCATGTGTGTTCTCTCAAGATAGCCAATTGCTAACAGCTACGTCTGCTTCTGTATTTGCTTGCTTGCTCACCCCAATAAAAACCCTAGGCTGTAAGCTTCAGGCGCAACTCTCATTTGCAGCCTCTTGGCACCGAGTTTCCGGACACCCGAGAGTTCGCCCCTGCGCAGGTAAAGCTTTGGCCAATAAAGTTCCATCTTAAACTCCTGAAAGCTTCCGACCATTTGTTGCTCGCGTTGGTGGATGCCACACTATCATTATGAAGCAGAATTCACGAAGTCTTGGATTGTTCACCCACTGATAGGGAACGTGATCTGGGTTTAGGCCGCGGTGAGACAGGTTAGTTTTACCCTACTGATGCTGTGTTGTTGCCATGGTAATCCTGCTCAGTACGAGAGGAACCGCAGGTTCAGACATTTGGTGTATGTGCTTGGCTCAGGAGCCAATGGGGCGAAGCTACCATCTGTGGGATTATGACTGAACGCCTCTAAGTCAGAATCCCGCCCAGGCGGAATTATACGGCAGCACAGCGGAGCCTCGGTTGGCCTCCGATAGCCGGTCCTGCCAGTCCCCGCCCGGCCGTGGAGCGCACGCCGCCTCCCCCCCGCTTCAAGGTGCCCGCCTGCCGAGTGTCCCGACGGGGTCCGGTGGGGGTCCGGTGCCGAAAGCCCCTACTCCGGGGAAACGGGGCGTAGCTGGAAGGGAGGCCGCCCCCTCGCCCATCCTGGCGCTAAACCATTCCTAGAGGACCTGCTTCTGGGTCAGGGTTTCGTACATGGCAGAGCAGCTCCCTTGCTGCAATCTATTGAAAGTCAGCCCTTCACACATGGGTTTGTGTAAAAAAAAAAAAAAAAAAGGATGAAAAAAAGTTAAAAAAATAAAAGAATTATGGATTGGCCCTGGCAGGTGTGGCTCAGTGGGTTGAATGCGGGCTTGTGATTTGATTCACGGGTTTAAACCAGGGTCACTGGTTTCATTCCCAATCAGGGCACATGCCTGGGTTGCAGGCCAGGTCCCCCAGTAGAAGATGCATGAGAGGCAACCATTAATGTTTCTCTCCTCTTTCTCCCTCCCTTCTCTCTAAAAGTAAATAAATAAAATCTTTATTAAAAAAGAGTTATGGACTCTTCTTCTGAGCTAACTAAAGAAAGGTAGTAATGTTGATGAATGGAGTTACGCAATGAACATTACTAAAATAGCTATATGACAAAATGCCCTGTGAAGCGCAAGAACAGGTAAGGCAGAACTAACTTGAGCTATGGCCCTGCTAGAAACAGGGCTACCCTGAGTATCTTCTTTCTTCAAAGTGTGTGTCCTTTTCATTCCAGACCACTGGAAGAAAAATAGTGAGGTGAGAAATTAAGAAGAGTCAAAGGAAAGCCATGACACCATGTTTCATTTCTTTAACAATCATTTACTAATTATGTCACCTGTTTCAGAGCCTCATCTTGGTCTCAGGGAAGCTTTGGCTGTTGTAGTTTGACTCCATGGCCAGGTTGTAGAGCAAATTGCAGAAATTACTTTCCTTCAGTAGGGCTCATTGGCCCTCACACTCACTGTCAGGAGGTCCGTGTTAGGATTGTACCTTTCATCAAAGAATAGGGCACACCTGCCTCTGGACGGGAATGTCCCAGGAATACTCCGTATGCATGCATCTCATCTTTGGGGCCAGATTGCCCTCAATGGCCAACATATTGCTAAATTATAAGGTGCTGTTGAAACACAAAAAAAGCAACACAAAAATAAGTATTTGCATCCTGAGAATTTTAAGAGCTTTCATTGAAAGGGGATAATATTGTGATTAGATCAGGATGCTGTTCCGTAGACAATAAAACTGCAGTACAATTTTCTCATGTTTGAAACTTGGCTGGAGTGTCAAACCGTTTCTATTTCCTATGTGCCCATTGCAGGGTGCTGAAAATACTGTGCTTTTTATTTTTTTGAAAAGCGATTTTTAAATAATATCTGGTAAGGTTTTAGATTTTTTTAACTCCTCTCTTATGTTACTTAGTTTTAATTTTTTTTCAAGTTTTAGGTTACATTTTAGTGTGATGTTTGCTCTAAATTTTTAATTAAGACAGGCTTCTTACAGTATTGTTGGTATTTGATATTATTGCACATATGTATGCCCATATTTTTTCTTTTTTTAAGATTTTATTTTAGAAGGGAAGGAAAGGAGAAAGGGAGAGAAACATAAATGTGTGGTTGCCTCTCACGTGTCTCCTACTGGGGACCTAGCCTGCAATACAGGCATTTGCCCTGACTGGGAATGGAACTGGTGACCCTTTGGTTCCCAGCCCAGGTTCAGTCCACTGAGCTACACCAGCCAGGGCCATAACTTTATTTTTCTTAATGGATGTTTCTAACTAAACGATTGACTTCCATTGAAGTTCATATTTTGTATCTTAGTTCTTTTTTATATCAAATGTTACATTCTTGTGTTATTTCTGACACATGTGTGATGGTGTAAGTAAACCATTTGAAAAAATTTTTCAGACCCTGGCATGCAGGAGTACTTCCTTTTTCTGTGACTGGCTGTGTGGTGTTGCAGAGATAATGCATGTTCATCATCGTGCACACAAGACCCGTCACCAGACAGAAAACATCATTTTTATCATTTCCAGAACGCGTTATCTCCCAGTGGCTTTCCCTAACCCCTTGGACTCTGGGAACCACAGTACCCAGAAGGCTGTTCGAGAGCTGAGCCAATAAGGCCCAGAAAAGGCGCTACAGCTGTGGCCAAACGCATGTGGGCGGGACTTCCGTCGCCCTGATGGCGGGCGTTTTTGTCTTCTCTCTGAATCACCTCACCGTAGGAAGGGTGGCGAATGCAGTGCCGCGGTGGAGATCCTATTGACAATAAATCAGAGTCCTGGTCGCCGCGTCACAGAAGCGATTATGAGCCTCCGTGACTTCGCTCGAATGACCGAGATGGGGACCGCGATGCCCGACGCCCCCTCCTGGCCCACCGCTCCCGCTCTGCTCCACACTCCGAGTTTGCCTGTGGCCACCGATCAGAGGCGCCAGGTTGAGGTGAGTGCGCATCCCCGCGCCCTCCGTCCTCAGCCCACCTGAGCCCGGGACGGTCGTGAACCGAGAGAGACATTGGCTGTGTCATGGTTTTCAAAGCCGTTTAGATCCTTCTGAGATAGAAAACCGACTAGAGTGGGATGATAAGGACAGTGAGGCACAGGAAGAGGGCGGTTTTTCAAGGTCACGGAGCTGGTAAGCGGCAGTGCTGAGGAGACGTTTGGCCGGTGACATTTGGTCACCAGACTCCAGGGTGGGCGAGTATACAGCTGAGACCTGCTTACCTGGAGCTGAAGGGTGGTTGATTGCTTCTTTCCACAGGTTCTGAAGTTGAAAATCATTATCACACTAGACAGGAAAGTACAGAGTGTCCCAGTCCCTCCCAGGTGGTAACACTACTTGTAATAGTGTCCAAAGACTTCCCTTGGTTTTTTCCTGGCTCTTGGATGTGGGGACCCTGGGGATACCCCAATCCTGAGTGCAGGTCACTGGTAATATCAAGGTGCTCCCACTTCTTGTGTCAATTAAAGAAAATTTCGAATCTTAAGAGACTTTTAAAAAGTATTTTATTTATTTTTAGAGAGGGAAGGAAAGAAGGGAAACATCAATGTGTGGTTGCCTCTCGTGCACCCCCTATGGGGGCACGATTTGGTTTGCAACCCAGGCAAGTGCCCTGACTGGGAATGGAATCAGCGACCCTGTGGTTCACAGGCCAGTGCTCAATCCACTGAGCCACACCAGCCAGGGCACTTTAGAGCATTTAAAAAAAAAAATCTTTATTTCCCTGGCTGGTGTGGCTCAGTGGATTGAGCGCAGGTCTGCGAACCAGAGAATCGCGGTTCAATTCCCAGTCACGGCACATGCCTGGGTTGCAGGCCAGTTCCCTGCAGGCCAGTTCCCAGCAGGGGACGCACTAGAGGCAACCATACATTGATGTTTCCCTCTCTCCTTCCCTTCCCCTCTAAAGAGAAATAAACAAACAAACAAACAAATAAATAAATATTTTTTAAAAAAACAAAAAATCTTTATTACATTTTTTTCCAGTATTATTTATTCCCCTTTTGCCCCATGGAGGCTTTTAAAAATGTTTATTTTAGTCAAAAGGACGTCAATTGCAAAGAAACAGTCTTAACGGAGTGAGAAAATGCTTTGAAAAATAGTATTTTTTCCTACTTGTTTTATACATCAGAATCAAAAGGGAAGCATAAGTGGAAAATTTGACATCAGTTGGTGATAGGTTAGAGAGGCAGGAATATACAAAGAAGGAAACTCTGATATTAGAGAAGAAAATAAAAATGTTCATTTATATTTGTGGGTATAAGAGTTATTATTTAATTAATTAACACAATAATAACAGTGAGGGGTTTTTTGGTCTCTTTCTGGTGCAGTGTTTGTGTTTTGTAGGGTAAGAAAAAAGGAAATTAACCTGGTATTTGAGGGGTATATTAACATAAGTGCACAAATACAAAGATGAGATCAGATAAGGTAAAAATTGACCTTCCTCAGGGAAGATACTAACTTAGGACATAACTACTTACCATGACTTGCTTTTAGTTAGAATGTTTTAAATTCAGACTATATATAAGGGTGGTTTCGATTTCTCAATTTGTAGGCCATAGGACTCCCCTAAGCTGGTCAGGTTTAGTTCGTGCCCTCACTTTTTTTTTTTCCAGTCCACACAGGCAGCCACTTTGAGCAGTTAATTCAGGTTGTCCAGAAAGGGTTACCTGCACTTAATAATGCTTAGAGATGTCACAGAACTTAAAATAGGTACCTCAGGTCTCCTTTGTTTGTGTTAAAAACAAGGAGCAAGGGGATCAAGAATGAGACTTACAAAGTGGCCAAATGATAATTAAGGTATTCATAATGGGGATACTGAGGCATTTGTTTAAGGGAAAGGCATTGGTCTCTCCTGGATTTAACAGGCTCCTTGTGGATGCATGGTGGAAATACATATTTATAGGGGTTAATGGAGAGAGCACTGGCCTAGGCGAGTTCTATGATCCAAAGGAGAGCCGATGGACCCAGAGGAAAGCTGATTAACAAGAAATGGGCCTCAGGTAGGAGAGAAGGTTGGTTTCTTTGTCCATCTTTTATTTTCTTCTTATATTTTTTTCATTACCCTTTATCCATCCCCCTCATACCCTCTTCCACCTCCATCCACACCCTCCCCCTTCCATTTCTAAAGAATGTCAAGTAGAGTTGCAGATTTTGCAGCTGCAGGAGAGAAAGGAAAGGGTTCAAAACCACCCTAGCATTTTTCTTCCTAGCGCCTAAAGCAGTGGAGGCTCCATCAACTGGGCAGGGGAGGATGGTGGTATGTTAATTTCTTTGAGAATATCAGAAGGATGTTTTGCTTCACATTTATAAGAGTTTCAAACAGCAGTGAGCGGAAATATCTCATGAGTGAACACAAGGGTCTGGAAATCTGTGGAAGGGTTGAGGTAGGAGTAATTAAAAAATGGTGGCTCTTTTGCATGAGGGCAAAGGTGGTAGAGCTGAGGGTATGAACCCCAGGGTGAAGATCTGAAGAGGTAGAGATCATACAGTTGTGCATAGCTAGAGGGAGTATGAGCTCATGGTTCTAGGTACCTGGTGTTGGGAATTAAGGGTGAAGCATAAGACCATGTTTGGCTGTGTCTTGTAGGTATGATGTGGGAGACTCAGTGGAGTTGCTTGTTTGTAGGATGAGGCTCTGCAGGGTGGACCTTGAGTTTAGATGCCATATCTACCCCACTCCCTGTTATCCTGCCTGTCTATGCCAAGGGTGATATGAGTGATTAATGAGATTGTGATGAGACAGTAGGCAGTTCTGGCACCAGGGGCTGATGTCTTTTCTCAACTAAGGACCCTGTAGGGGGTAGAATGTGAGTAAGAGTACGATAGCGAGTTCTCAGACACACTTTAACAGATTTATTTTTGTTAATTCTGACAGGTCATTGTGATCTTTGAAGATATCGCCATGTATTTCTCCAGGACAGAATGGTACCTCCTTGGTGAGGCTCAGAGATGCCTGTACCTTGAGGTGATGCTGGAGAACTATGCTCTTATATCATCACTGGGTAAGACACTGACTCTCCCATTTCTCTCTTCTTTGGCATGCGTTCACTCCCCAGTCTTATGGGTTGCCTTTTGCTTCTATGCTCTAATGGTCCTGACCAGACTCATGCCCAGGGAGGAATGGACAGCAGCGGCTGGTCTTTGGCATGTTACAGGAAACTCAGTTCTCCTTTCCGACACAGTAAAGAATTACAGGTTAGCAAGTCTACTAGCATGCAAGCAGAATTTATTAGTGATACCTTCTCATGGAAGAGAATGGGTCTTGTGAAGTTGGGGGTATAAGTTGTAGGTTTAGGGCAAGGCAGGGGTGGCAAAAAGCATCAGGTCTTTGTCGTTAGGACTCATGTAGTGGGAGGATTGGGGTGAGATGTTATATATTGATTGATGGGTAAAGGTGGTGTTCAGTAGATTGAGCGCAGGCCTGCGAACCAGACAACCGCTGTTCAATTCCCAGTCAGGGCACATGCCTGGATTGCAGGCCGGTTCCCTGCAGGCCAGTTCCCAGCAGGGGACGCACAAAGGCAACCATACATTGATGTTTCTCTCCCTCTCTCCTTCCCTTCCCCTCTAAAGATAAACAAAATCTAAAAAAAAAAAAAAAGGGGGGGTGGTGGCAGCTTTCCCTGGGGGAACGTCACTACCCAAAAGTTGGTATATAGTCAGGGTTTGTCAGCCCAAATTCTTATCTTGATCCAGACCACATTTGGTCATCTTGTAAAACAGATACATGACAGGAGGCAGGTAATTAAAATTGGGGCACTTTCCAAAGTTATTTATAGGATCTTTCTGTAAGCACTAGGGACTCCCTCATAAAACAGATAGTGACCGGAAACAGGCAATTAATCAAAGCTGTTTTATGAACCTTCTTTTTTTTTTTAAAGATTTTATTTATTTATCTTTAGAGAGGAGAGGAAGGAGAGAAAGAGAGAAATATCAATGTATGGTTGTCTCTTGTGTGTCCCCTGCCAGGAACTGGCCTGCAACCAAGGCATGTGCCCTGACTGGGAATCGAACCTCCATCCTCCGGTTTGCAGGCCCGTGCCCAATCCACTGAGCTACACCAGCCAGGGCTTTGAACCTTCTTTGGGTGCTGTGGGTCCCCTTCCCACTTTCTTCCAAGACCAGGGATGAATGCATATTTTCAAAGGCTTTCTTCCCCAGATAGGGGAAACTATACCCAGAATTTCAAGGGCTTCCCTGTCCTGTGCTAACGTGTGTTTTTTGTGATGTGAAGTGTTCCCTGGGAATATTATTGGACCAGGCTCAGGACTGCTGAGTTAGTGGTTGAGATATGTCTTCCTTCTCCTCCCTGCCTTTACTGTCTATTCTGCCTGACAGGCTCACCCGTAATCCTCTCTCTAGGGGTCCTTCTTTTTGCTTCATTCTCCCAACCTTCAGTAAACTAACTCACATTTTCAAGAAACAATAAAACCCTCACTCTCTCCCGGTGACCTTGACTAAGGTTTGCATAGTTCCCATGCCCTGTGTTCCCTGGGGAGCCCTCTGTCCTCACACGTGGATTTCGGGCACTGCTTGCTCCCCGGTTTTCTGAGTAGATCCTGGCCTTGGCTGGGCTGGTTTGCTTGCACTGCCCCCTTCTCTCCCTGCAGCCTCAATCCCTGCTGTACTGAACCTCTTAGGGAAGAATTCGAAATCAGCTGTGTTGCCAGAAGGCTGATGGGTTTCTCATTGCAGTGAGAAAATACATTTTTTTATATTTCTGTTGATCATTCTACAACTATATATATTTTTTATCCTCAACGGAAAATATTTTTATTGATTGTTAGAAGGGAGGGAGAAATAGAAATATTGGTGTGAAAGAGAAGCATGGATAGGTTGCCCCCATATATGCCTTTAATAGGGGTGCAAACCCAAAACCTATTCATGCATGGGACCGTGCTATAACTAACTTGGGCCACTTGGGCAGGGCTGGATGAAATACTGTGCATATATTTATTAGTTCTGTTTTCTCAATAGTGTTTTCGAACTTCAATAATTCCTTATTGCTCTCAAATGGGACGATCTGCACATTGTTGAAAGGGGGATATTTAAGTTATCTAGTTCTGTTACATTGCATTTTCTGCCTTTAGATCTTATCCTGTTGGAGTTGTGGGAAATCATTGTTGGCTTAATGTTCTTAGGTGCTCTGTGGTTGGTTGCATAGTAATTCACATTCAAATTCCTACACACCCATCCATCGTAAGCAGGAAGGGTTTTGCAGGCAGCCATCAACAGAAATATTTTGTCAACCCAGCCCCTCTTCCTTGTGTCCAATTGTGTCCTATTATCCTTCCATTAATGAGATCCATTATCCATTAATGATGTCCATTATCACTGACCTCTGGGCTTATTTAGAGTCTGTTGCTCTTGTCTTGATAATCATCACATAGAATCGGACCAGATGTTACAGATGAAATTTTTTGATGAGAAAACCCTCTCCCCGTAGGTCAGTATGTACTTCACTAGCATTTGTTTTTGTTCAGGTTGCTGCTGTGGAACAGAGGAGGTGGAGGCACCCACTGAACAGAAAGTTTCTGTGAGAGTCTCAAAGGCTAAGAATCTTAAGTCAGCACTGTCTTCCCAGAAGAGCCACCCCTGTGAGAGTTGTGGGTGTGTCTTGAGAGACATTTTTCTTTTGTTTGACCAGCAGGGAACACAAGAGAGGCCGACCCTGCTGAGGTGTGGGGCATGTGCAAAACCATTTTATTTCAGTGCACAGAGTCACCAGCAGCAGGAGCAGGGCACAACAGAGAATTGTTTCATAAGCAGTGTGGACAGGATTTCACTGGAAAAGAGCTGCAATTCCCACATGTCATGGAATCCTTGTACCTCTAGTCAGATTGGAAGATGCTTCATCAGCCCCGGACATCTAGAGCAACTGGCTGTTCCCACCGTGCACAGGAGAAACAAAATCTCTAAATCTGGAATGACTTTACAAAGTACAAAATATTACACGACAAGAGAATGCAAGAAAGCCATTGGCTATGATAACACCCTTATTGAGGACCAGGGACTCCTTCCTGGAAGACAGTATTTTTTGTATTGTGAAATTAGAAAGACTGTTAACTGTACCTCTTCCCTCCATGTTCATCAGAGAGTTCACAGTGGAGAAAGGCCTTATGAGTGCATTGAATGCGGAAAATCTTTTAACTTTAGCTCTGAACTTTCTAAACATTCTGGAAAAAGGACTTATACATGTGATAGATGTGGAAAATCTTTTACTAGTAGTTCGAACCTCCGTTATCACCACAGAATTCACACTGGAGAAAGACCTTACAAGTGTGGTGAATGTGGGAAGTCTTTTACCCATCCCTCTCCCCTGCGTGCACATGAGAAAGTTCACATTGCAGAGAGGCCTTATGTGTGTAGTAAATGTGGGATGTCTTTTAAGAGAAAAGGTATCTTTAACTCTCATCAGAAAGTTCACACTGGAGAAAGGCCTTATGAGTGCAGTGAATGTGGGAAATATTTTAAGAGAAAAGATTATTTTAATTCTCATCAGAGACTTCACACTGGAGAAGGGCTTAATGAATGTGGTGAATGTGGGAAATATTTTACCCATAGATCTACCCTACGTAAACATCAGAAAGTTCACACTGTAGAAAAGCCTTATGAATGCCATGAATGTGGGAAGTATTTTAAGAGAAAAGATAACTTTAATTCTCATCACAGAGTACACACTGGAGAAAGACCTTATACATGTGGTGAATGTGGGAAATCTTTTACCCACAGCTCTACCCTGTGTAAACATCAGAGAGTTCACAGTGGAGAAAGGCCTTATGAGTGCAATGAATGTGGAAAATTTTTTACACGTAGCTCATCCCTCCATTATCATCACAGAATTCACACTGGAGAAAGGCCTTATAAGTGCAGTCAATGTGAAAAATCTTTTACTCGTAGCTCTGAACTTAGTAAACATCACAGAGTTCATATTGGAGAAAAGCCTTAGTAGTGTGGTAAATGTGGGAAATCATAAACTTAGCCCTCTGTAAACCTCACAGCATCCGCACTTGAAAAAGGCCTTACTAGTGCAATGGGCATGGGAAACCTTATACCTGTAGCTGTGCCCTCCGTTTTTATCAGTGTTCACACTGGATGAAGACCTTATGAGTGCACTAAATTGGGAAATCCTTTATGTGTACCAGTCAGATCCATTACCATCAAAGAGTTCACACTAAAGGAATGCCTGTGAGGTCAGTAAATGCAGGAAATCTTTTCTCTGTAGCATTAACCTTCATTGTTGTCAGTCAGAGACTACACACAGGAGCAAAGTTTTATGGCTGTAGGGAATGTAGGAAATTTTGTTTTATCAGTAATCTATGTTATCCTTAGAGGCTTCACATATGAGAAAGGCTTTATGAGTGCAGTGAAATAGGAATATCTTTTTCTGTGCAGTCCTCACTGTTGTCTTCAGAGAATTCATAACGGAATGGCCTTATGCCTGCAGTGAATGTGGGTAATGTTTTTCTTGTATTAGTGATTTCCACTAGTGTGATAGAATGTCACTGGGGAATGCAATTTCAGTAATTAAGAATATGAAGTATCTTTTAACTGTGGCCATTTCCTTCATTGTTATTAGAGAATTGACAATGTCTTAGTTCTTATAACTAAAGCAAACTTGGGATATCTTATTTTAACTTCTGTGTTAAATTCTGAGAAGTCATGAAACATTTTTACATACATCAAATATGAGAATTTTTTTTGTATCACTAGCCTCCATTATATTCCTATTTTCATTCTGGCAGAAGGCCTCATGAGTACATGGAATGTGAGAAAATATTTTTTGATTCTCCTTTCTATCATCAGTTTATACATAGACAGGCCTTACAGGAACATCACATGTGGGAAATCTTTTACCTTGTAGCTATAGCTGCTTTAATCATAGTTAAAGTCTTTAAACAAGAAGTGAACACAGGCAAATCTTTAGCCATAAGTCTCTACCCTTTCAATACTGGAGAGTTCTGTCTAAATGGTTACATTTCAGGAAATGTACTATTTTTTCTTTGTAATGACTGAAGAAAACTTACTGAGAAAAATGTCTGAGTTTAACTTTATATGTTCACAGTGTGGACATATCTTAGAAGTTTAATGTTTAAATTTTGCAGAACCTAACAAAGTACGACCTAAACTAATGGTGCCTTTTTGGATTCATATTTATAGAGTATGAGGGTTGCCTTTCCCCAGTCTAACAAAATCTTGATTGTTTAATTTTTATTATTTTAGCTCTTTTCATATGTGTTATGCACTCACTGTTTTAGTTGCATTTCCCTGAGGATTTTTGATGAACATTTTTGCAAGAATGTATGTACTAGAGATATGTTTTTAGTAAAATGGGCAGCTCACGCTCAATCCACTGAGCTACACCAGGCACACAAATAATTGTTTTTAATAGTAAAAAAACATACCCAAATTATTTGAATTTTTTATAAAAAGATTTATTTATTTTTAGAGAGGGGAAGGGAAGGAGAAAGAGAGAGAAACATCAATGTGTAGTTGCCTCTCACGTGCCCCCCTACTGGGGACCTTGTCTGCAATCCAGGCATGTGCCCTGTGAGGGAATTGAACTGGTGAACCTTTGGTTCACAGGCTGGAGCTTAATCCACTGAGCTGCAACAGCCAGGGCTATTTGGATTTTTTTTTTGGCTGTACACAATGTAGTTGGCACATTTTATATATTTTAACGAGTAATCTGAATTATTAACACTTTATTGATACTGTAAATTGAAACATTTAGTAATAAAAAGCTTTGCTTCTTAGTTTTCAGCCATTTGTGGTCTATCATCTGGGGTTTGCTGGGCTGCAGCAGGATTTGAAGGAACACCACTTGGTAATAGGATGGACATACACTTGTAGAAACTTCCATACCCTCCTGAACACAAGACCAGTGATCAGACTCACCATATTTCGGCCTTTCAACCTGGGATTAAATCTTAGATTACCGACTTGTTATATTGCAGGAAAGAAATGCTGTCTATGGAACTCGGGATTTTCCTGTATAAAATACAGATAAAAAGCAACATTGACCTGGGCTGAGGGGCACAGTGTGTGAGTGTTGGCCCGCAAATTGGACTAGGTCCCTCTCTCCCTCCTTTACCTGTCTCTAAAAATAAATTAAAATAAGAAGTTAAAATATTTTTTAAAAAGAGCAGCCCTTATCCCTGAAAGGATAAGATTCCTCTATTTTTTTAATAAAGATTTTATTTATTTTTAGAGAGGGAGAGAAACATCAGTGTGGTTGCCTCTCACATGTCCCCGACTGCGGACCTGGCATGCAACCCGGGCGTGTGCCCTGACTAGGAAGCAAACCAGTAACCCTGTGGTTCATAGCCTGTGCACAATCCACTGAACTATACCAGCCAGGGCCAAAATCTCTCAAAGGCTCTCTACTAGAGCTACCTCTCTGTTCCTTGACTCAGGCACATTTGTTTTTCTGAGCCTCTATTGTTAGGACTAGAGAGATTACCGAACTCACTCTCTGTTTAGGTGTTTTAGAAATACACAAAGAACACACACCAGATCCTCACACCTGGACCTTAAATCTAAAGATAGCAGAACGAGTGTGCACAATCAGCCTGAAATCTGTTTAATAACTGATTGTCACAACTACCCGGCTGCAAAGACCCCACTGTTTATCACCCAATAAAAACAGCCTCAACCTTTCACCTCCTGTGCTGCCTCTCATGCACTTAGGTCCCTGTTCTCTCTTGTAAAGGGAATAAAACTTTGCTTTCTGCATTTTCTTTGTGAATTCTTTCACAAAGTCAGTGTCACCTGCCTCACTAACAGTCCCAGTCTTGGTGCTTATTTAAAAAGTAGTGGCTATAACACCAGTTATCACTGGTGGCTGCTATCCACAAGTCAGTGGCTCTTGGGACCTTCTGACCCAAGTGCTTGTGAAAATAAATGGAGCTTCTCAGATCCCTCATATGTGCAGCAGTCCAGACAGACTTCTCCCCTTGGAGGAGTGGCTTCAGGGCTCATCAGTTTCAATATGAATCCCCCACTGGAGCATCTCGGGGGATACCCCAAATTTACTTCACTGACTGATATTAAGTTAACAAGACACTAATTATGGCTGCTGTGAGGACCAATAGAAGTAATGGAACTCAACACAGGTATTCATATTCCAGAGTTTGCTTTCTATTTTTAAGATTTTATTTTTTAATTTATTTAGAGGGGAAGGGAAGGAGAAAGAAATGGAAACACCAGTGAGTGGTTGACCATCATGCGTCCTCAACTGGAGGCCTGGCCTGCAACCCAAGCATGTGCCTTGACTGGGAATCGAACCGGCAACCCTTTGGTTCACAGGCCTGCACTCAATCCACTGAGCTATACCAGCCAGGGCTCCAGGGTTTGCTTTTGATCATTTTTTAAAAATTCTAACAGTACCCTGGGTATTAGTAACTTACTGTGTTTCTGGGGAAAATAGAATCAGGAATAAGAAGGGGTTTTTCCAAGATCACAGGGCAGATAGGAGCCAGATTGAAGAGCCTAAAGTCAACTGAGTTTGGCTTTGGATCTGGGAACAGTCTCTATCATCACATATTAGGTCTTCTGTCATTTCTGTTGTCTCCAGAGAAAACTACTTTGAGGCTTAGCTGCATTTTGTCTACATCATTTTTTAAAAAATTTATTTATCTTTAGAAGGGAAGGGAAGGAGAGAAGGAGAGAAATATCAATGTATGGTTGCTTCTGGTGCATCCCCTGCTGGGAACTGGCCCCTGCTGGGGACTGGCCTGTAATCCAGGCATGTGCCCTGACTGGGAATCAAACCTCGATCCTCTGGTTTGCAGGCCTGCGCTCAATCCACTGATCTACACCAGCCAGGGCCCTGCAAATGTTTTTGGTACATGTCATTGACGTGCACTCTGCAGTATTGAGAACAGCTGGGTATTATGCCTGGGATACATTCAGAAGTGATGATGAAGACCTATTTTAATGTTATCTCCTTGGTAAAGTGCTCACCTCTTCTTCATACAGAAAACTCAGTGCCCACTTGATCTTCTACTCTGTCAGGACTGGCTGCAGGAGACAGTGGTACTCACCATCTATCTGCTGTGGCCCTGACCATGTTCAGCAACCACATCATCCTTTCCAACCTCCCCCTGTCTGCACCAGAGATACTTGGGTAAGAACTAGTCCTTCTGAACATAAACTCTCATTCCATTGCCCAGTATGCTCTAGCCGCAATGAAGATTCTTACTCCTAATTGCTCCAGACAGAGGCCAGTGGCCAAATTGATTATGTGTATGTCTGCATGGCCCAATTAGCATTGTTACAGCTGATGGCTCTTTCAGAGAACAGGGTGAGTCTGCAGCATCCTTGGTAATATTTGCAATCCGATCTTACAATATTCCTAAACAACATAATCCATTTAAACACACAGGTGGCATTCATGGACACTCTGAAAATTGACCCCTTCCTTTTGTTTCCTCCTCAGTGCTCTCAGTAGAGTGTCTTGGATTAGTGCTGAAGCTCTAAAGCCCTTCTAAATGTTACTGATTTTCCATTTTCCACATGAAACAGCCCTCAGCAGCCCTTGTAAGTTACTTGGGACTTGAGCATTATTTTGATGTCATTGCATTTTCATGGTAACCTATCACAAGTCTTAAGGCAAACTGATTTTCTTAGTTATTGGAGAGAGATAAGTACACTTTTTAGGATGCAATGTATACAAGGTCATATTGAGAATAATAACCATGGGCACAGTGATGTTCTCCTAAGCAGAGGTCAGGTATCAGGTCATTTGCAGGCACATTTCAATCTCCTCCTATTGAACTCTAAGATCATCTCCAGCCCTGAGCTTGAAGTTTCTTTACATTGTTTGAAAGTTTCTTTACATTGTTTAAGTTTCTTTATATTGTGCTTGTTTATATTGCTACTTGTAATTTATAACCTTTTATTAATATGCCTTTCAGGTATGTCTTGGTGTCTCACTAAATGCTACAGAAAGTTAATTTTTATTTTTTATTTATTTTTTTAAAGATTTATATTTATTTATCTTTAGAGGGGAAGGAGAAGGGGAGAGAAACATCAATGTATGGTTGCCTTTAGTGCATCCCCTGCTGGGAGTTTTGCCTGCAGGGAACTGGCCTGCAACCCAGGCATGTGCCCTGATTGGGAATTGAACCACGATCCTCTGGTTTGCAGGCCTGTGCTCAATCCACTGAGCTACACCAGCCAGGGCTTAATTTTTATTTTTATTTTATTGATATGCTGTGATGGATGTCCCAATTATCCCGTTTCCCCCTCCACACAGTACACCATTCCCCCGAGCAATCCGCCCTCTTAGTTCATGTCCATGGATCATGCATATAAGTTTTTCAGCTTTTTCATTTTCTGTAATATTCTTAACATCCCACTATTTTGTACCTATGAATTATGCTTTTTAACGAACTATAGAAATGATCCCTGAAAGTATAGCCTTTGAATTATGCTTTTTAATTCCTGCACATTTTTCTCCATCCCTCTCCTTCCTCCTCCCACCAGATCCCCTCCAAATGATCTCCATACCTACGATTCTGTTCCTGTTCTTATTGTTTGCTTAGTTTGTTTTGATGTGATGAATTGCATCAAAGAATTAGTACAGAGGGTTATTCCTGTTGATTAATGGAGTTACACAATGAGAATTACTTATATAGCTAGAAAATAAAAAGCTCTATTAAGCCTGAGAACAGGTAAGACACAATGGGTAGTAAATAAAGGACACTGACTCTAAGAATGAGAGACTTAACCTGAGCAATTTCTCTCCTGGGAAATTGGCTACCATTAAATTGTTGTTTCTACAAAGTGTGAGTCTTTTTAACTAATGAGAACTTGGAAAAAATAGGTTGACATGGATACCGGCCTGTAGTGTCTGCGGCATTATGGATGAGATATGAGACAAATTCACATGGACTACCAAGTGTGGTGGAGGAAAAGGATCAGCACGGTTACTCCCTCAAGGGGGGGGAGCCTCAGAATGGCCTGGCAACTCTCTCAAGGGGAGAGTGGGCCAATCCTTGCCTTGACAGGTTTTTATTGTGTTTCAATTTGCACAGGAATACAGGTAAAGTTCATTAATCATTGTCAGGCAGTAAGGAGCAAATAATAGATAGCATACAAAGAACTACGGGGGTCTATTCTGAGTCAGGGTCTATTAGCTAAAAGGCTACAAAACTTTGGGAAACAAACTCATGTCCTGCTCAGACCCTTATCATTTAATTGAGAGCATTCTTATCAAGGCAGGTTTCACAGGATTTTATACATTCTTTCTTAGGCCAGATCACCCCTTTCCAGCACAGGGCTGCACTGCCCTCTGACATCGTTTCAGGCTTAAGTCAGGCAGGGAAAGTAAGGCAGCCAAGAGATTAGGAGGCTTCTTGCAGACAGAATGAGAACTCGGGCTTTGTCAAAGCCGAGGGGTGAGGGTCCACCACCCCCTTTTGCTGTAGTCCCCCAAGTCCTTCCCTGGGACCTCCATGTGATCATGCCTGTCTTAGGTAGTTCCCCCGTTGGGGAATCTTACCCGTCATTGACTAACTTATCAAGCATTGGAGGCCAGTTATGGAAAAAGGAGCAGAACTGGTGCTCCTGCCAGAGAGATAAGCTTTGTCTCCTTAGCGGTTTATGGTCAAAGGTCCCTCACTCAGCCTTAGCCATGGTGGGGTTACAGCTCCTGAAACCAGGCAGGGCGGTTCCCAACAATTGGTGACAAAGATAGCAAGCTGTTAGCAGAAAAATAAAGAAGAGCTGAAGAAGAGACATAGATAGCATCATGTTTCATTTCTTCATCAATCATTTAGTAATTGTTATATTCATCTGATTCAGAAGTTCTGGTAGTTTTATGTTATGTATCAATGAATAAATAAATGTGTTGGCAAACTTGCTTCTTCAAAGCCTTAACTGAAAGCTAGCCAAGTAGTCGAGAAGAATATATTTTATTTTATTGTAAACTATAAGGTAATAGGTGCTGTTGAAACATGAAAAAAAATAACATACCAAAAAGACAAGTATGTGCATCCTGAGTATTTTAAGAGCTCTCACTGAAAGAGAGGAGAAGAATGTGATTAGATCAGGATGCTGTTCTGTGAACAATAAAAATGTAGTACAATTTTTCCATGTTTGCAACTTGGCTGGAGCATCAGACCATTTCTATGACCACTGTTCCCATGGCAGGGTGCTGAAAATACTGTGTTTATTTTTTGAAAAATGTGTTTTAAGTAATATCTGGTAAGTTTTTAGATTTTTTTCAACTCTCATGTTACTTAATTTTAATATTGTTCAAGGTTTGGTTTATATTTTGGTGTTATGTTTGCTCTAAATTTTTAAATAAGACAGGCTTGTTACAGTATTATTGATGTTTGATATTGTACATATGTATGCCCATATTTTTTTGTTAATCCTAACATTTTATGTGCTTTTTAATTTTCTGGGGTATACATAGGTTGAGTATGAATATGTACTTTATTTACTCTAAGTATAATTTCTATATAGATTCATCTTATTCCATTAGGAATATGAGAAACATGTCACCTCTTCTCTTAAATATGTCTGCACAGGGGAAAATCTTTCCTTATGATAATTACATTTTGAAGTTAAAATAATATGAATAACCTTGTCAGAATTCAATTCTCCCAGTTTTTCAAAACTTTATTCTTCTTAATGGATGTTTCTAACTAAACAATTGACTTCCACTGAAGTTTATATTTTGTATCTTAGGTTTTTTTGTATGAAACATTTGACTTACATTCTTGTGTTACCTCTGACATACATGTGATGTTGTAAGTAGGTCATTTCTCTGATAAAATTTTCCAGGCCCTGTAATGCAGGTGTACCGTATTTTTTGGACTATAAGATGCAATTCCCCCGCCCTCCCCAAATTTGGGAGGAATAATGGTTGTTAATGCTGCTGTTGAGTTCTGTTTACATTTACATTGGGGAAATATTATGTTATTTATGTTATTAAATATTTTACCACCTTTTTTGCTTCAAAATTTTTTTCCTACTTTCCTCCTCTGAAACCTAGGTGCATCTTATGGTCAGAAAAATGTGGGTACCTCCTTTTTCTGTGACTGGTTGTGTGCAGTTCCAGAGGTAAATGCATGTCCATCACCGTGCACGTGAGACCCGTTACCAGAAACAGATGATATCATTTATCATATTCAGGACGCGTTATCTCCCAATAGGTTTCCCAGAGATCTGAGTCTTTTCTCTGGAAATCAGGTGGTAGAACCCTTTTCTTGGAATCGCAGTACTCAGAAGGCTGTTCAGGGCTGAGCCAATGAAGGCTCAGAAAAGGCTTTTCCGCTGGGGCTGAACGCATGTGGGCGGGACTTCCGTCGCCCTGCTGGCGGGCATTTTGCCCGCTCTGAGGCTCTCCTGACCGGTCAGAGGGAGGTGAGCGCCGGGCCTCAGTGGAGGTGCTGGTGGGGAGAGATCTGGTCGCCGCGTCACAAACGCAATTGTGAGGCTCCGTGACTCCGCCCGTGTGACCTGGGCCTTGTCCGGGATGGGGACCGCGGTGCTCGGCGCCCCCTCCTGGCCCTCCGCTCCCTCACAGCTCAGCACACAGATTGCCATGGCGGCGGCCTCGCTGAGGCGCCCGGCTGAGGTGAGTGCTCAGTCACTGGGTCCTCCATCTCGAATGCGGGGCGCCGGTCACGCCCTGCACCTCACTCCCCTGTGTTCTGGACGTGAGGCTCTCGTGGGTGACACAGGGGTAACGGGGTGGGAGAGGGTGATGGGCTGAGGGGCCACCGAGTAGCGACGCGCAGCTGCTGCTGACCCTGAAGGACCCACAAACTGGTGTCGGCCTCATAGCTCGTTGAAACAGTCTGAGGCGGAGTCGGCTCCTAACTGGGAGGCAGAGGGTTTGCACCTTTATTCTCAAGAGTCCTGGGAGCCGGGGGACGTCGTGAACCGAGAGAGACACAGGCTGTGTAATTGTTTTCAAAGCTTTTAGGATTCTGCTGAGATAGAAAACCGACTGGAGTCTGGTAATGAGGACAGAGAGGCACAGGTTCGCGAGCCGCTTGTTGAAGGCTTGCACTGAGGAGATACTTGGCCTGAGGTCACTAGACTCCATGGCTGGGCGGGGATACAGCTGAGACCGGCTTACCAGTTGGTGAAGGGGATTGATCGCGTCTTCCCACAGGTTCTGAAGCTGAAAATCATTATTGAACTAGACAAGGAAGGCAAAGGTGTCTCAGTCCCTACCTGGTGGTGACATTCATTACCTTATACTGTCTGAAAACTATTTCCTTGGTAATTTCCCAGCTTTCAGATTTGGGGGCCCTGGGGATACCCCAATCCTGAGTGTAGATCATAGGTATATCAAGGGGCTCCCACTTCTGATATCAGTGTAAGAAACATTCCGATTTTTAGCGTTTTATTTTTTAATGTTTATTTTAGCCAAACTGACGATGATTGCCAGAAAACAAAATCTCAAGAGAGAATATGCTTTAGAATATGGCAGTTTAATTTTTTTAAGGTTTTAGTTATTTTTAGAGAGAGGGGAAGGGAAGGAAAGGAGAGAGGGAGAGAAACATGTATGTGTTGTTGCCTCTCTTGCGCCCCCTACTGGGGACCTGGCCCACAACCCAGGCATGTGCCCTGACTGGGAATCCAGCTGGTGACCCTTTGATTCATAGGCCCGCCCTCAGACCACTGTGCTATACCAGCCAGGGCTGAATATGGTAGTTTTAATACTTATTTTATACAGCAGAATCAAAAGGGAAGACGCAAGTAGGGACCTTGAAATCAAATGGGTGAAAGGTTAAAGAGGCAGGAGAAAACAAGGAAACTCTGATATTAGATAAAAAGTGTTACATTTTTAGATATAGGATAGTTAACTAACTAACAATAGTAAGAACAATGAGGGTTTTTTAAAAGTCTGTTCTCATGCAGAGGTTGTGCCCTTATGGGTAAGAAAAAAGGAAATCACGCTGATGTTCCAAAGGCATGTTAACATAGGTGCAAAAGTAGAAAGATGAGCTCAGTTAAGGTAAAAAAACGACCTTTCTCAGGGAAGATTTGGGCCTAGGAGAAAACTTGCCATTACCCGTTTTTAGTGAGAAAGTTTTAATTTCAGACCATCTATGGGGGTATTTTCTGCCTCTGAGTTTGTAAGGCTATCATGGTGGATTCCATAAGCTGGTCAGATTTAGCATGTTGTTACCCCTTTTGCAGGGGGGTCCACAATGGCAGCCCTTGGAATCAGTTATAGAAGCTCATCTAGGGAGAATCACTTCCACATCGAAATACTTGGAGATACCACAGAGCTAGGAATAGGTATCTGAGGTCTCCTTTCTTTGTGGTAAAAAACAAAAACAAAAACAGGAAGGCGGGGTCAAGAATCACAGTTGTAAATTGGCCAAATGATCATTTTGTTCATGGAGAGAATGGATCATTTGCATAAGAAAAGGAGTTAGGCTGTCCTGGATTTAACAGGCTACCTCTGGCTGCATAGTGGGAAATATGGAAGTTAAAAAAGGTGGCAGGCATCACTTCTTTTTTGCTAAGATCAAGTGTAAAAAAGGTGGCAGGCAGCCCAGAACCAGGAAAGTTTTAGGGTCCCAGGACAGACGATGAAGCAGCGTTGGGCCTCAGAGGTTGAAGAAAAGGTTGGATTGTTGGTCCATTTTATATTGCATTTTTTATTATTATTTATCTCCTTTATACCCTCTTCCACCTCTCCTCACTCCTCTCCCCCCTCTAAAAAAAAGAAGAAGAAGTACAAATAAAGTTTCAGATTTTGCAGCTACAGCAAAGAAAGATTGTTCAAAACTACCCCAGCAATTTTGGTCCTAGCAGCTGAAGGTGAACTGGTGGAAAAGAAGAATGGGGCCCTGCAGGCACAGCCCTGAATTTAAATGGCATTTATCTGCTCTACTTCCTCCCATCCTGCCTTCCTTTGCTAAGGGTGATGAGAGTGATTAATGAGATCACCATGAGACTATAGGCATCCCTGGTACCAAGGGCTGATGTCTTTTCCGATTTTGGCCCTGCAGATGGTTGGTCATGGGGAAGTAGGATTCTGGGGTCTCAGACTTTTCCAGATTTATTTTTGTTAATTCTGACAGGTTGTTGTGACCTTTGAGGATGTTGCTGTGTATTTCTCCAGGACAGAATGGCGCCTCCTTGATGAGGCTCAGAGATGCCTGTACATCAGTGTGATGCTGGAGAACTATACTCTTATATCATCTCTGGGTAAGACACTGACTCTCCCTGCGTGCCTGCATCCCTATTTCCTCAGGTTTGCCATTTGCTTCTTCTATTCTAAGCTTTATAGGTCCTGACCAGACTTGTACCCAGGGGACAATGGACAGCAGCAGCTAGTCTGGGGATTTTTATGGGATAGACTCGATTCATCTTTCCGATACAGTAGAGAATTACAGGTTAGCAGTCTACTAGCATTTAAACAGAGTTCATTAGTGATATATTCTCATGGAAGATAGGCCTTGCCGAGGTCAGGGTAAAAGGCATAGGTTATGGACATCGCAAGGTAAGGGCAGCAAAAAGCATCAGGTCCTTTATCCTGAGAATTTACATAGTTGGTGGGATGGGGATGTGGGAGTTGCATGTTGATTGACAGCCAAAGGTGGTTCTTGCTTCCCCGGGGCCAAGGTTACTACCCAAAAGTAGGTATGAGCAGGCGGGTTGTTAGCCCGAATTCTCATCTTGCTCCAGACCACATTTGGCTACCTGTTGTATACAGATACTTAACAGGAAGCAGATCTCTAATGTTGAGGCAGTTACCCAAAGTTATTTATGGGATCTTTCTGTAAGCACTAGGGACCCCCTCATAAAACAATAGTGACCAGAATCAGGCAGTTAGCTAGGTTTTTATGAATCTTCTTCTTCAGGCACTGTGAACCCACTCCTGGTTTTCTCCTAGGCCTTGGGATTAACATACGGTTTGAAAGCCTTTCTTTCCCAGATAGTGGAAACTACACATAAAATTTCAAGGGCTTTTCCCCCTCTCATGCTAGCATGGTGTTTTTGTGATGTTCAGAACACCTGGCAATATTATTGGACCAGGCTCAGGGCTACTGAGGTGGTAGGTGAGGCACGTATCCCTCCTTCCTGCCTGAGTTTAATGTCTATTCTACCTAACAGGTTCACCCATGATTATATCTCCAGGGGTCCTTTTTTTTTGTTTGTTTCATTGCCCCAAACTTTAATAAACTAACTCACATTTTCATTAAAAAACAAACAAACAAACCCTCACGCTCTTGACTAGGGCTTGCATTGTGCCCATACCCTTACAGATGTCTGTCTGTGTGTGTGTGTGTGTGTGTGTGTGTGTATTTATTTAGTTATTTTAGCCTCACTGGAAAATATTTTCATTGAGCCTCAGCTGGTGTGACTCAGAGGATTGAGTGCCAGCCTGCAAACCAAAGGGTTGTCAGTTCAATTCCCAGTCAGGGCATATGCCTAGGTTGCAGTCTAGGTCCTCAGTGGCCAGGCAGTGTGCAAGGGGCAACCACACATTGATGTTTCTCATTCCCTCTGTTTCTTCCTCCCTTCTCTCTAAAAATAAGTAAGTAAAATCTTTAAAAAATATATTTTTATTAATTGTTAGAGAAAGAAGAGAGGGATAAGGAGAAACATCAGTGTGAGAGAGACATCGAACTATGTATAGAGCTTTAACAGGGGATCAGATTCTTAAACTATTTCTGAAACGGCAATGCTCTAAGTAACTGAGAAACTTGGCCAGGGCTGGATAAGATACTATGCGTGTATTTATTAGTTCTCTTTTCCCAATAGTGTTCTCAAACTTCAATAATTTCTAAATTGTTTCAAACGGATGATCCACCCATTGTAGGAAGGGGAATATTTAAGTTGTCTAGTACTGTTGCATTGCATTTTCTGCCTTAAGATCTCATGTTGTTTCATTAATGTACTTAGCTTCTCTGTGGTTGGGTGCATAATAATTAAAATTGTTATCCTCCTGATCTCTTTGGTGTTATTTGCATGAAATATTTTTCACATCTCTTTATTTTCTGCATATTTGTGTCTGTAAAGATTTTGTGATCCTCTACATTGTGTCTTGTGGAAATTTTCTTTTTATGGGAAGACAAATTTCACCTTTCTTTAAAATATCTTATTTTTAAATACAGTTGACATTATTATATTAGTTTCATGATTAGACATTGTATAACTACTAAGTGATCAACTTGATAAATCTCACACCCTTCTGACACCATACACAGTTAGTAGACTGTTATTGACTATATTCTCTGTTTGGATGATCTGTGCTGCTGGCTGTGAAAGAATTCACAAAGAGAAGAAAGTATAGGGAGTAATGTTTTATTCCCTCTGCAATAAAGGAGAGGGGCATGGTGTGGAGAGATGCACCAGTATTGAGGGGTGGAGGCTTTGAACTTTAATTGGATTATAACTGGGTCAAAACTGGATGGGAAGGTGCTGTTTTGTGGCCCTTGGGCTGTTGGGGTTGCAGTTGGTTACAGTGTTATCTTCTGCCTTTGGCTGTAGGAAGCAGTTCTCAGGGGCTGTACTTGCTTTCCAGTAATTTCTAATCCTGGGCACTGAAACTCAGAAGAGTAAAATGGCATTCATGTTTAACAAGGTCATAGGGCCTGCTCAGCAGATGGTGCCACAATAGCAAATGGCACTGACTTTATCCATTAATTCCTTGTTCTGTACTTTATATCCCCATGACTGGGAATCAAACCTGCAACCCTTTGGTTCTCAGGCCAGCACTCAGTCTGCTGAGCTACACCAGCCAGGGCACCATTGTTACTTTTTTTAAGGTTTTATTTATTTATCTTTAGAGGGGAAGGAGAGAGGGAGAGAAACATCAATGTATGGTTGTCTTTCATGCATCCCTTGCTGGGAACTGGCCTGCAGAGAACCAGCCTGCAACCCAGGCATGTGCCCTGACTGGGAATCGAACTACGATCCTCTGGTTCGCAGACCTGTGTTCAATCCACTGAGCTACACCAGCCAGGACACCATCGTTATTCTTAATCAGTTTTATTTTTATCCTATACAATAGAGTTAAATAAAGTACACTTCAGCAATTAACTGTTCCATTGTTGGAAACTTGATGACATCCAGCCTTACCAGAGAGTTTTACACTTAGTTACATTTCCTGTTTCTATATAGTATGCCTTTATTTCAGCTGAAAGACCTTATTTCTGAGGAATAGTTTTTCTGGTTTGCAGAGGTTTTCCTTTCATGCTTTGACTATATCATTTGATATTCTCCAAGCCTGCCAGGTATCTTCAGAGAAATCTGTTGATAGCCTTATGGGAGGGTTGTCCTTACATGAGGAGTTTATATCATCTTCGGTCATTCAAACTTTTCCTTGCTCTTGATTTTTGACACTTTTTTTTATAATATGTCTTGCTGAAGTTCTTTTTGCATTGAATCTGTACTACGACCTGGGAGGATTTTAAACATGGCTATTCACATTTCTTTTTCATATTTTGAAGTCAATCTTTAGCTCATTTTTTAAAAGATTTTATTATCTTTACAGGGGAAGGGAAGGAGAGAGGGAGAGAAATATCAATGTATGATTGCTTCTTGTGCATCCCCTGCTGGGAACTGGCCTGCGACCCAGGCATGTGCCCTGACTGGGAATCGAACCACAATCCTTTGGTTCGCAGACCTGCGCTCAATCCACTGAGCAGCGCCAGCCAGGGCTAGCTCATTTTTTTTTTAAATAGAATTTTTATGCTTTTTCTCTTCCTGTTTATTTCTCATTTTCAGTTCTTTTCATCTCCTGTGGTACACCCACAATGCAATATAGGTTATCTCTGTAGTGTTCCGGTATTCACACAGGCTGTCCTCTTTTTTTTTCCCCCCTCACATGGATGATTTTAAACAACTTGCCTCTGGGGTAATGTATTCATTTTACTGTGTGATCTTGTTTGTTCTTGAAACTCTTTTGCATTTTTAATTTTATTCATTGTGTTCTTCAACTCCGAAATACCTGTTGCATTCTTTTTTATTCTCTCTCTCTGACCCTGTGTTTTGTTCCCATATTTGCTTGTTCATTATGTTGAATTCCATGTGTTTTTGCTTGTATCTCACTGATGTTTTTAAGAATGATTATTTGAATTATTTTTCTGGCGATTTATATACTTCCTTTTTTTGGTTTAATTCACTTTGAAATTGTTATGTTCCTTTCTGATTTTTTTTTTTTTTTGTATTTCCCTTTTTCTTAATGTTGATGTCTGGTATTTGATGAAGCAGTTACTTTTTTGGACTTCATGAACCAGTTCTGTTTAGAGGAGTAGTTTTATCTGCATATACATACAAGGGTGCTTACTAGATGGTGTGTGGTGTTTTGGGTTGAGGAGAAGCTTCACTTCCCATTATTCTAGCCGCCCCATGACCAAGGTCAGCATTGTGAAGATTGAAGGGATCCTCAGTGGCCAGGGCTATGGAGTCAGTTGTAGCACAAGTACAGTGTCTCTGAAAAGTTCTTACCTTAGTGTTTTGAATCTAATCCTGTTTGCTAAGCTATCTTTCTTGCTATTGTTTTTTTGTTTTAAGATTTTATTTACTTATTTGTAATGACTGAAAGAGAATAAGAAAGAGAGGGAGTGAAAATGATACTGCTAGAAGTCCATCAGTCAGATGCCTCTTGCACACTCCCATCCGAGGACATGGCCTCCAAAACAGCCATGTGCCCTGACTGGGAATTGAACCTGCAATCTTTCCGTTTATAGGCTGGCACTCCATCCACTGAGCCATACAAGCTGTAGCTTTCCTGCTATTCTTTTGCCTAGCTCTTTGTATTATGTGGCACTTTGTAGCTCTTTGATATTATTGGTCTATTTAGCCTCTTCCCCTTTCCCGAAGGGATGTGATTTTATATGGATGATTGTCTAATTATTCTTAAAGGGAGTTAAATATTTGTATTTTTTATTCTGTCATCTTGGTGTCATCACACACAAAGATCTTGTTCTGTGTGTGTGTGTGTGTGTGTAGCTCTACAGCAGTGTTGGTTATTATCTCTTCTGCTTTCTCTTTAGAGTTGCATCATCAGTATTCTACATAATTGATTAATGGAGAGTCAAGTGGAAGAATCCTTTGTGTAACACAAGAGGGGCAGGAATCCAGCTATGACAAAATGGGCTCAAAGGTGGTCTGGAGTTGGTGAATGGCAGTTGGGGAGAATTTGATTCCAGGGCTTTGTTAAACATAGTGAGGAAGCTGTTCTCTTTAACTGTATTTTGTCACCATTACCAGTGCCTACACTTTAATCCACTTATCCTTTCCCAGTATTCGCATATTGCCTTTTGTTACTTAAATGATTTTCATTTTTACCCTGACTTCCAGCCATGGAAACTCTTTGCCTTTCTAACCTCTGCACCACAACCATTTCCCAGAGGGGTCTTTTTGATGTGTTCTCCATGTTTGATCAATGCCTGTTGCACCTTGCAGTGTCCACATATTTTTCTACAAACCTCGTAGAATGTGGCTGATCTGCTGTGGCTGATTCTCATGGAGTTGCATGCATGCGTATTCTTCTACACAGCTGTGCATCATAAGAAGGAAGGGCTTTGCAGGCAGCCACTAACAGAGGAACATCTTGTAAACCCAGCCTGTCTTCCTTTTGTCCCTTCCTATTCCAGTGTCCTTTGTTTAATGAATTCCCACTATTTACTGAATTGAGGGGCTTTTTTCAGTGTCTGTCTCACTTGTCTTGGAAATCATCACATAGAATCATGCCAGGGGTTACAGATGCATATTTGTGATGAGAAAACCCGTTCCCTAAGGTCAGTATGAACTTCAATAACGTTTCTTTTTGTTCAGGTTGCTGCTGTGGAACAGAGGAGGTGGAGGCAGGCGTTCAAGAGAATATATCTGCAGGAGACTCCAAGGCTAAGAATATTAAATCAGCACTGTCTTCCCAGAAGAGCCACCCCTGTGAGAGTTGTGGGTTCATCTTGAAAGACATTTTCCTTTTGGTTGACCAGCAGGGAACACAACGGAACCCAACACTGCTGAAATGTGGGGCATGTGCAAAACCATATTATTTCAGTGCACAGAGTTACCAGCAACAGGAGGAACAGATAACAAAGAATTGTTTCATAAGCAGTGTGGATAGGATCTCAGTTGCAAAGAGCTGCAATTTCCATGTGTCTTGGAATCCTTGTGCCTCTAGTCAGGTTGAAAAGTGTTTCCTCATCAGCTCAGGACATCTTGAGCAACTGGCTGCTCACACCATGCTGAGGGCAAGTGACATCTCTAAGTCTGTGATGACTTTTCAAACTACAAAATATGACACCAGAAAAGAATACAAAAAAGCCATTGGCTGTGACAACGCACTTGTTGAGGACCAGAGGTTTCTTACAGAAAGACAGTGTGTTTTATGTTGTGAATGTGGGAAATCCTTTACCACTAGCTCTTCCCTCCGTGTTCATCAGAGAATTCACACTGGAGAAAGGCCTTATGAGTGCAGTGAATGTGGAAAATCTTTTAACTTTAGCTCTGCCCTACGGTATCATCAGAGAGTTCACACTGGAGAAAGGCCTTATGAGTGTGGTGAATGTGGGAAATCTTTTACTGGTAGCTCTGGCCTTCGTAATCATCAGAGTGTTCATACTGGAGAAAGGCCTTATGATTGCAGTGAATGCGGGAAATCTTTTGCTGGAAGCTCTGGTCTGCGATATCATCAGAGAATTCATGCTGGGGAAAGGCCTTATGAGTGCAATGAATGTGGGAAGTCTTTTACTGGTAGCTCTGGACTCCGTAATCATCAGAGTGTTCACAATGGAGAAAAGCCTTATAAATGCAGTAAATGTAAAAAATCTTTTACCAGGAGCTCTACCCTCCGTCATCATCAGAATGTTCACAATGGAGAAAGGCCTTATCAATGTAGTGAATGTGGAAAATCTTTTACCTATAGCTTTTCACTCCAGTATCATCAGAGAGTTCACACTGGTGAAGGGCCTGATGAGTCCAGTGAAGGTGGTAAATCTTTCACTGGTAGCTCTGAACTTTGTAAACATCACAGAGGTCACACTGGAGAAAGGCCTTATGAGTGCAGTGAATGTGGAAAATCTTTTACCATTAGCTCGTCGCTCCGTTATCATTACAGAGTTCACACTGGAGAAAGGCCTTATAAGTGTGGTGAATGTGGGAAATCTTTTACTAGTAGTTCTGCCCTTCGTAATCATCAGAGTGTCCACACTGGAGAAAGACCTTATGAGTGCAGTGTATGTGAAAAATCTTTTACCAGGAGCTTTTCCCTTCGTCATCATCAGAAAATTCACACTGGAGAAAGGCCTTATGAATGCACTGAATGTGGAAAATGTTTTGCCATTAGCTCGTCCCTCCGTTATCATCACAGAGTTCACACTGGAGAAAGGCCTTATAAGTGCGGTGAATGTGGGAAATGTTTTCCCTGCAAATCTGGCCTCATTCGTCATCAGAGAGTTCACACTGGAGAAAGGCCTTATGAGTGTGGTGAATGCGGGAAATGTTTTAAGAAAAAAGATTACTTTAATTCTCATCTGATTTCACACTGGAGAAAAGCATTATGAATTTGGTGAGTGTAGGAAATCTTTTACCCATAGGGGGTTATCTTCTGTTTTCATCAGAAAGTTCACACTGGATTAAGGCCTTTTGTGTGCAGTGAATGTGAAAAATCTTTTACCAATAATTCTGCCCTCTATTATCATCACAAAGTTCACACTAGAGAATTGCCTTGTAAGTGTGGTGAGTATGGAAAATATTTTACCTGTTGCTGTGAACTTTGTAAACATCACAGAGTTCACACTGGAGAAAGTTTGTGTGAGTTCAGTGAATGTGAGTAATCTTATACCAGTAGCTCTGCCCACTGTAAACAGAATTCACACTTACAAAAGACCTTATGAGTGCACTGAATGTGGAAAGTCCTTTACTTGTGGCATTACCTCCATTACCATCAAAGAGTTCACACCAAAGAAATGTAAAGAGGGCAGTAAATGGAGCATTTTATCTGTAGCATTAACCTTCATTGTAATCAGACTATATACCCGAGCAAAGTTTTATGAACGCATGGAATGTGGGAAATTTTATTTTACCAGTAACCTTCCTTATCCTTAGAGATTTCATATATGAGAAAGGCCTTATGAGTGCAGTGAACATGGGAAATTCTTTTTCTGTAGTAGTCCCCTCTTATCAGAGAGTTCACCCTGGAGAATGGTCTTACGCCTGTAGTGAATGTAATGTTTTTCTTGTGTCAGTGATTTCCATTAGTATAAGAGTTTATGGTGCTTCTAGAAATGCAGTTTAAGTGATGTAAATAGGAGAAATCTTTTAATGGTAGCCATTCTCTTCATTGTTGTTAAAAGAATTCACAATCTCTTAGTTCTTAGAACTGAAGAAAATTGGGAAATCTTTCATTTTTATCCATTTCCTTTGTTACCTTCTGAGAAGTCACCCAGGAGAAACTTTTTTTTTTTTTTAATACATGAATATGAGGTGGGGTTTTTTTGCAGGGCAGTAGCACTAGCCTCCATTATATTGGGACATTTCAATCTGGTGAAAGGTGTTGAGTACGGGGAGTGTGGGATATTCTTTTCAATCCTTTCTCCTTATCATTAGTTTACACAGGAAATAGATCTTACAGGGACATCACATGTGGGACATCTTTTGACTCAGTCATAGACACCTTAATCATTTCACACTGGTTGATGGCTTCAAGCATGAAGTAAACATGGGAAATCCTTAGGCATTAGTCTGTATACATACCCTTTTGACATGGGAGAGGTCTCATTGCATAAATGTGCATAAATGGTTAAATTTTAGAAAATGTGCTTTTTTTTTTTTTTTTTTTTTTTTTTTTTTTCAGTGTAATGGCATTGAAGCAACTAAGAAAATGTCTGAGGTTAAATTTATGTGTTCACAGTGCAGACATGCCTCAGAAGTTTAATGTTTATATTTTGAAGTACCTAACAAAGTACTATCTAAACTAAGTGTGTCTATGCATTCATACTTACAGTGTATGAGGGTTGCATTTCCCCACTCTAACAAAATCTTGATTTAATTTTTATAATTTTAGCTTTTTTCATATGTTCATTATGCTCTCTCTGTTGTCTTAGTTGCATTTCCCTAAGGATTTATGATGAGCATTTTTGCAGGAGTGTATATATTAGTGACGTGTTTTTAGCAAAATCTGTACTTACATAATCTACTTATTCTTTTGTTAAATTGGATTACTCTCCTTTAACAAATAGAATAAAACAAAGATCATTGTAAAGTCACCCATTTTCCACTCCTTAAATAACAAATCATTTTTGTTTTATGGAGTAACCTTTTTGTATAATTGTTTTTAATAGTGGAAGGTATACAAATGACTTGGATTTTTTCTTTTTTTGCTATACACTATGTAGTATGTACATAATAAATACTTTAAGGACTAAGTTGCATTATTAACACTTCATTGTTTTGTAAATTCAAACATTTAGTAATATAATAAAGCCTTGCTTTTTAGTTTTAAGCTGTTTGTGTGGGCTACCATCTGGGTTTTGTTGGGCTGCCACCGAACATGAAGGTACACACCTGGTGGTATGAAGGTGAACAGGTATTTGTTGAGACTCAGCCCTCCCAGAAGCCAAAGGCAAGAGAATAGTGATTGGACTCCCAGTACCTTGGCCATGCAACCTGGGTTTAAATGTTAGATTATTGACCATTGTTATGGTTGCAGGAAATTGATACTCTCTTGTGGGCCTCAGGATTAGCTGTGTAAAATAGGGCTAAACAGCAACCTTGCCCTAGGTTGGATGCCATGGTGGGTTTGGTGTTCCACAAACAAAACGGTTGCACGTTCAATTCCTGGTCAGAAGACATGCCTGGAATTTGATTTGGACTCAGTCCCTAGTAAGGCGAATGCAAGAAACAATGTTTTGTACACTTCAATATTTCTCTCCCTCACCTTAGCTCTGAAAATAAGTGAATGTAAGTTAATAAAATATTTTTCAAAAAGAACAACCAAAAAAAGTTCAAAGCTAAAAAAAAAAAAAGACAAAATGCCATCATCCCTGAAAGGACAAAACCTACCTTTTAGGCACTCTGAACCAGAGCTATATATCCATTCCTTGACCTTGTCAGACAGAATGAGCTTGTTTGTTTGAGTCTCTATTGTCAGGGCTGGAGAGGTTACAGAACTCATCCCCCGTTCAGATATTTTAGAAACTTAAACAAAAAGCACATACTATATCCCAATACCTGGACCCTAAACCCAAATATAACAGCAAACTGAAGCCTGTATAATCTGTTGGAAACCTGTTTTATAAGTAGCTACAACCATTCAAATGCAAAGCTGCCCTTTATCACCCAATAAAAAAGCCCCAACCTTTCACCACTAGCACTACCACTCATGCATCTATAGGCCTCTTTTCTCTCTTGGAAAGTGAATAAAACTTTGCTTTCTGCATTTTGTCCTGTTTGTGAATTATTTCACAGCTGTAGCTGGCCACACAATCCCAATTTTGGTACTATTTTCAAAAGTAGTGGCTATACCACTAGTTATCACACTGGTAGGTGCTGTCCACAAGCCAGTGACTCCTGGGACCTGACCCAAGTACTTGTGAAAGTAAATGGAGCTTCTTAGATCCACACAGACTCCTCACCATGGAGGAGGTGGATTCAGGGCCCCTTGGTCTCATTGTGAATCCCTGCTGTGGCATCCGAGTGACAATAAAACTCCCCAAAACTTACTTCGCTGACAGTAAATTAAGGCACTGACTATGGCTCTTGTAAGAACTAATAGAGGTAATGAAACTCACTGAACACTTAACAGGTATTAATATTTCAGGGTTTGCTTTTTGATCATTAATGTGTGTGGGGGTTTTTTTGTACTTAAATTCTAACCACACCCTAGGATTAGTAGATGATGTTATATTTCTGGGGGAAATATAATTGGGAAGAGGAAGGGAGTTTTTCCAGGGTCACATAGCAGAGGGAGGTCAGATTGAAGAGCCTAGATTCAATCTTGTGAGTCTGGCACTAGAGCTGGGGACAGTCTCTACCACAGCATATTAGGCCCTCAGCAGAAGGCAGGAGGACAGCAAAGGCCAGACAAATGAGAAACTCATCTAGCTGCTGTTTTCATTGTTGCAATTGTCATTATATCTCCATTTCTCTTATATCTCAGAGTATTTACCATCTTCCTCACAGTCTTTATAGGAATCCTGTCATTTCCAGTGGTCTTTCCAGGGGAAACTATTTTGAGCCTTAGCTGCATTTGTCTACCTCTTTTTTCAGCTTATCACACAGTTCAGCACTAATGAGACCCTGGTGAATCAGAGCCCGGTTTTTCTGCACACTTATTTTGTGAATGACAGGATACTATCCTCTGTAGTGAATGTGGTGCTTCAGTTTTATACTACAAGTGTCCGATCTACTCTGCAATATTGAGGACATCTGAACATGTTACCTGGGATATATTCAAAAACGATGGTGGAGACCTGTAGTATATTATCTGCTTGATGGAATGTTCACATCTTACAGGAAACTCTGTGCCCACTTGATACTATACACTGTCAAGTACTGGCTGGGGAAAAACAATGGTGTTCATCATCTGTTCCCTGCAGTCCTATGTTCAGCAACCACATCCTGCTTCTAGCCTCCCTGTGTCTGCACCAGCAATACTTGGGCTGGAATACGTTGTTCTGAACATAAACTCTCATTCCATTGCCCAGTACATACTGACCACAATTAAGATTCTTAGCTGTGGGCGCCACTAGCCCCCCATGGCAAAGCCGGGGGGCCAGGGCCAGCTGGCAAGGCCGCTGCCCATGGCACAGTTCCTCTCCACCTTGCTTGGCTCCCTGCCTGGAACCTGCTGTGGGTAGACAATAGGTTTCCCAAGAACTTATTAGCATAAGCTAGACAGCCTGTTTCCCTGTAGAAGGGTAGGTCATGCACCGGTGCTTGATAAACAGGGAAGTTTTGATAGCACCCTGTGTTCCCCTGTTGTCCCGTGGAGTAGCTTTGCAGAAAGGACAAAGAAACTGGCTTGGGTGCAGCCCCCTCCTGCTTATTCCCCATAATTGTAATAAAAGCCTTGAATAAACGGAGTTCGGGGCTCAGCGGGATGCTGAGACCTCTCCAACCTGACTCCCTGCGTCCTTGACTCATTTCCACCCCCTCCCCTCTCCTGGCGAGGCTGGTCCGCGGCACTTAGCCAAATCAGGTTGGGTTCATGTCTGCAAGTCCCAATTAGCATTGTCACAGCTGATGGCTTTTTAAGAGAACAGGGTGACTCTGAGGCATCCTTAGTGATATTTGCAAACTGATCTTATATGTTCCTAAACGACACAATCCATTTAAAGTCGGCAAGTGGCATGCATGGGCATCTGGAAAATCTACCCTTTCCTCTTGTCATTTCCTCCCCTCTGCTGTCAGTACAATGTCTTAGATTAGTGCTAAATCTTTAAAGCCCTTATAAGTCTTACTGATTTTCCATTTTTAACAGATGGAGCACCCCCGAATACCACTCCTAAGTTACTTGGGACTTGAGCGTTAATTTGATGGCATTTAGTTGTCAAGGTAACCTATCAGTAGTCAGAAGTCAAACTGATCTTCCCAGTTATTGGAAAGATACAAGTATACGTTCTAGGATGCAGTGTATACAAGAAAAACCGTGTAGGTCATACTAAAGGGAACAGTAACCATGGGCGCAGCTGTGTTCCCCTAAGCAGACATCAGGTGCCAGGTCATCTGCAGGCACAGTTCAGTCTCCCACTGAACTCTAAGGTCATTTGCAGCCTTTAGCTTTAAGTTCCTTTACATGCACATTGTTTATATTGCTACTTGTATTTTACAAACTTTTTTTTTTAGGGGAAGGGGATGTGAGGGGAAAAGGGAGAGAAATAGCAACATGTACTTGCCTCTCACACCCCCAGCTGGGGACCTGGCCTGCAACCCGGGCATGTACCCTGACTGGGAATTAATTGAACAGGTGACCCTTTGGTTTGCAGGCTGGCACTCAACCCACTGAACTACACCAGCCAGGGCTACGAGCTTTTACTGACATATTTTTCAAGTGTTTCTTGGTGTCTCACAAAATCTTCCAGAAAGTTTTTATACCAACATTCATACACACGTTATTAAAACAGTGCTATAGAGTCCTTTTGCAAATCATGCTTTGAAAAGGTTAACAATACCTAACAATTGCTTCACAGAGTAATGTTAACTGAAAAAATTAACACTTCTATGAGTATTCTCAGGGTATTCTTGGGGTATAAATTTGCAAATCCACTCCTGGAGTGAGCTCGGGAAATACAGGATCTCAGCCTTGGAGTATAAACCTATCTTACCCAGAAGGCAGGTGTGGACTATCACCAGGCTGAGTCAACAAAGACTCAGAAAAAGCATTTCCGTTAAGGCCATTGTGCAGGGCGGGACTTCCGTCGGTCTCCTGGTGGGCATTTCCTCTTCTCTCAGTTTCCGTGTTACCTGGTCAGAGTCTCGTGGTCACAGTATGGGAAGGACAAGGCGCTGGGCCGCTGCTTTCTGCAGAAGGAGTGAGGCCAAGTCCTCTTCCCCAGTGTTCGACGTCAGGGTTGGGACAGTAACCCCAATACCGGGGTCACCCTCCTTGCCCGCCGGTCCCGCTCCTCTCGGGCCCCAGAGTCGATGGCGATTGATTGCGGTGACCGCGTAAAGCGCCAGGTTGAGGTGAAGGCGCCTTCCCAGGACCCTCCGCCCTCAGCCCACCGAGCCCTGCAGCCCGGATGCGGGGCGGCGCCTGTCACGTCCTGCAACCCCGGCCCCGGCGTTCGGGACCGTGAGGCGCTCGTGGGTGACCCACGGTGTTGACAAGGTGGGCGACGGTGACCAGCCAAGGTGCAGCCTTCTAAGCACGTGCAGATGTCGTTGACTGGAAAGACAACAAACTGGGATCGGCCTTACCTCTGGTTTCAAGGGTCTTAGGCGGAGTCACGTCCTGACTGGGAAGGACAGAGGTTGCACCTTCATTCTAATGGTTCTGGGAGCTGGAGAAGGTCCTGCACCGAGAGAGACACAGGTCGTGTCATGGTTTTGAAAGTCTTTTAGATCCTGCTGAGTTAGAAAACCGAGTGGAGTGTGGTGATGACAGTGAAGCACAGGAAGAGGAGCCATTGTTGAAGGTTACATGGCTGGTAAGTGGCCGCATTGAGGAAACACTTGGCTGGAGGTCACCGTACTCCGGGCATGGTTCTAGGTACAGCTGAGACCTGGAGCTTAGCGGTGGTTGACTGCGACTTCCCCATAGGTTCTGAAGTTGAAAACTATTTTGTAAACTAGACAAAGAAGGACAGGGTGTTCCAGTCCCTGCCTGGCAGTGACATTATCTTATAGTGTCTAAAGACTCTTCCCTTGCCAATGTCCTAGCTCTTGGATGTGGGGACCCTGGGGATACTCCAGTACTGAGTACAGGCCACAGGTAATAATCAAGATGCTCCCATTTTTCATTTTTGTTGTCAAGGTAAGAAACATTGTAGAGAGGTTTTTGTTTTGTTTTGTTTTGTTTTACTAATTTGAGTCAAATCAAGAAGTAAAGCCAGAAAGCAAAATCTCAAGGGAGTGTGAAAGTGCTTCAGAAAATGCCAGTTTTACTATTTTATATATCAGAAGCAGGAAGTAAAATAGAAATGGGAACTTGAACCCCATTGGTGATAGGTTAGGGAGGTGGGAGAAAACAAAGCAGAAAAATCACCGATATTAGATAAAGTAAAAATGAATAGAAACAATTATTTTACACTGGTGGGTTTAAGGTAGTTAATATTTAGTTAATTAACACAATAATAATAACACTGCAGGGTTTTTTGTCTTTGTTCTGGCACAGTGTTTGTGCCCTGAGGGGTAAGTAAAAAGGATGTTACCCTGAAATTCCAAAGCTATGTTAACAAAGGAGCAAAAATACAAAGATGGGCTTACTTAAGGTAAACATTGACCTTCCTCAGGGAAGATACAGGCCTAGGACGTGACTCCTTGCCATGACTCACTTTTAGTTAGAAAGTTTTAATTTTAGACCATATGTAGGGGTTTTTCAGTCTCTCAGTTTGGAAGGCCATGAGACAACACCCTTAAGCTGGTAGGTTTAGTATGTGCCCCTTGCCCCGCACTTTTTTGGTCCCCACAAACAGCCAGTGTAAGCATTTAAGGCAGGTAATCCAGGGAAGGGACACCTTGGAGGTGCCACAGAGCTGGGTGTGTGTCACTCAGGTGTCCTTTGTGATAAAAACAAGGAGGAAGCATATACAAGAATCAGACTTATAAGATGTCCAAATGGTAACTTGGGTATCTATTATGGAGGTAATAGTGCATTTGCATAAGAGAAAGGAGTCGATGACTCCTGGGTTCACAGGCTCCATCTGGCTGCCTAGTGGAAAACATGATGGGGGTTAATGGAGGAGGCAGGGGGCCCTGGACCAGGCAGGTTTTGTAGTTCATAGCAGATGGACCAGAGTTGGGCCTTAGAGGTAGGAGAAAAGGTTGGAGTTTGGTACATGTTTTATTTTTTTTTTAAGATTTTATTTATTTTTAGATAGAAGGGAAGGGAGAGAAACATCAATCCGTTGACTCTCGGACATCCCTAACTGGGGGCCTGGTCTGAAACCCAAGTTTGTGGCCCAGCCAGGAATGGAACCCACAACCAACTGAGCCATACCAGTCAGGGCCATCTTTTTTTTTTTTATTGTATTTTTATCCATTACCATTTATCCCCTTCATACCCACTTCCACCTCCATCCACTGCCCTGCCTCTTCCATTAAAAAAAAAGATTTTATTTATTTGTTTTTAGAGAGGGGAAAGGCGGGAGGAAGAGGAGAGAAACATCAATGTGTGGTTGCCTCTCGAACTAGGGACCTGGCCCACAACCTGGGCATGTGCCCTAGACTGGGGAATTGAACCAGTGACTTTGGTTCACAGGCCAGCACTCAATCCACTGAACCACACCAACCAGGGCCCTCTACCATTTTTTAAGAAGGGCCACTATGGTCCTGCTGGTGCAGCTCTGGATTGAGTACTGGCCTGTGAACCACAAGGTCACTGGTTTGGTTCCCAGTCAGTGCACATGCCTAGGCTGTGCACATGGCCAGTTCTCTAGTTGGCGAGAACCAACTGATCAGTGTTTCTCTCACACATTGATGTTTCTCTCCTTCCCATCCCCTGTCTCTAAAAATAAATGAGTAAGTAAATAAATAAATCTTAAAAAGAAAAAAAGATGGACAAGTACAGCTTCAGATTTTGCAGCTGCAGGGAAAAAGAAAGGGCTCAGAACCACTGCAGTGCTTTTGGCAGTAGCAACTGAAGCAGTGGAGGCTCCATCCACTGGGCTGGGGAGGACGGTGGTGAGTTAATTCTCTTTGGGAATATCAGAAGGTTGTTTTGGTTCACACTTTTAAAAGTTCAAAGAGCAATGAGTAGAATCACCTTGTGAGCCCCTGAACAGATGGTTCTGTAAATCTGTGGAAGAATCCATGATGGAGTTAAGCAAAAGGGGAGGCTCTTTTGTGCATGAGGATGAAGTGGGCAGAGAGTGAACCTAGGTATGAAGATGTAAAGCAGGTAGAGATCACACAGGAACATGCACAGCTAGAGGGAATGTGAGTGATGGTCCAATCTGGTGTTGGGACATAAGGGAGAAACATGAGCCCATGTTTGGCTCTGTTTTGGAGGCATGATCCGGGAGACTCAGTGGAATTGTTTATCAGGAAGAATGGGGCCCTGTAGTCATGCACCCAAGTTTAGACGGCAGTTTATCTGCCCCACTTCCTCTTCTGCCTGCCTTTGCGGAGAGTCATAAATGAGACTGAAGACAGCAGGCATTTCTGGCACCAAATGCTGGTGTCTTCTCTGAACTGGGGGGCCCTGCAAGGGGTTCAGTTTGGGACTATTAGGATTGCAGAGTCTGAGACAGTTTGGGATTCATTTGTTTTAACTCTGACAGGTTGTTGTGACCTTTGAGGATGTTGCCGTGTATCTCTCCAGGAAAGAATGGCTCCTCCTGGTTGAGGCTCAGAGATGCCTGTACCTCAATGGGATGCTAGAGAACTCTGCTCTTATATCATCGCTGGGTAAGACACCCACTCTCCCTGCGCACCGTTTTTTGGCTTGCCTGCATCCCCCTTTCCTCACAGATGCAGTTTGCTTCTGTCGTAAGCTCTAAGGGTCCCGACACCCAGACTTGTATCTAAGCAGCAATGGAAACAGCAATGGATGTCATGCTTACCCCTGATCCTGTGTCCAGAAGTTTTTTTTTTTTCTCCATGGCTCGCAATTTTAATGAACTAACTCACATTAATTTTAAAAAACAAACAACAAAAAACCCTCCTGCTCACCAATCACTTGGACTAGGCTTTGCATTCCCCCAAGGCCTTCATTCCTCAGGGGTTGCTCTGTCCTCATATGGGGAGCGTGCACACCGTTTGCTTTTCTAGATTTCTGGGCAGATCCTGAACCTTGCAGAGCTGGTGTATTTGCAGTAAATAAATAAAGGTAACTGGTGCCCCCATACCTGCTGTATAGAATCCTCGGGGAAGGATTTGTGGTCAGTGGTATCGCTGGAAGTCTAATAGATTTCACATTGATTAGTGAGAAAAAGCATTTTTAATTTTCTCTGTCATTTTTACAACTATACATTTTCGTCCTCGCTGCAAAATATTATTATTGATTGTTAGAGAGAAGGTAGGCGGAAGGACAAATATCCATGTGAGAGAGGAGCATCAGTCAGCTTCTTCTCATACATGCCTTTAACAGGGGATTGTGCCTGCAACCTTTGTTTGTGCCCTGACCAGGAACCAGAGCTGCAGACTTTTGGTGCTTGGGAAAATGCCCTAACTAACTAAGCTACCTGGCCATGGCTGGCCTATGCAAATATTTATTAGTTCTGTTTCCTCTATGATGTATTCAAATTTCAGTCATTTCTTACCGCTTTCCAAAGGGATGATCTACCCATTGTTGAAAGGGGAACAGTCAAGTTGTCTAGTACTGTTGCATTGCGTTTTCTGTCTTCAGATCTCATATTGTTTGCTTATGCACGTAGGTGCTCTTGGTTGGGTGCATAGTAATGAAAATTGTTATCTTCCTGCTCTCTTTAGTGTTACCTGCATGGAATATATTGTCTATCTCTTTATTTTGTGTATTTCTGCCCATAAAAATTAATTACTCTCTTGGAAAAAGCATATATTGTGTCTTGTGGGAATTTTTTCTTGGAACAGAAGGTAAGTCCAACCAGGCATCAATGTATTTATTTATATAAATATTTTTATTTTCAAATATCATTGACATGTATCATTATATTAGTTTTATGATTAGACATTGTATAACTTACTAAGTGATCATCTCAATAAATCTCACACTCATCTGACAACATAGAATGCTATTGACTATATTCTCTAGGCCAGGGATGTCAAACTCATTTTCACCGGGGGCCACATCGGCTACTTTCAAAGGGCCGAATGTAATTTCAACTCCTTAACAGTCAAGGAGTAGTTACATTTATACAGTCCTAAAATTATTTTGGAATGAAGTATACTTCACCAAGAACTGGTCTATTATTCGGAACTGAATGACATCCTGGCCTTACCAGAGAGTTTTATGTTTTGCTACAGGTTCCTATTTCTATGTAGCATGCATTTATTTTAGCTGACGAATCTTCTCCCCACCCCCACCCCCACATTTCTAGTAAGTCAGGATGAGTGGAAATTAACTTCTTCACATTTTGTCTTTCCAGGAAAGTGAGGTTTTTTTTTTCTCTTGTTATTTCTGAAGAAGAGCTTTTCTGGATAAAGTATTGCCAGTTTTCAGATATTTTCCTTTAGTGTTTTGAAGACATCATTTGGTGTTCTCCAAGGCCACAAGGTTTTTTCAGAGAAATCTGTTATTGGCCTTATGGGAGTGTTGTCCTTACATGAGGAGTCACTTTGAAAGACCAAAGTGATTTCTATTCACTTTGGTCTTTCAAACTTTTTCTTGTTACTGATTTTTGACACTTTTATTGTTATGTGGCTTGCTGAAGTTTTGTTTGCATTGAACCCTTACTGGGACCTGGGAGGATCTTTAAGATGACTATTCATACTTATTTTCATATTTTCAAGTTGAACTTTAACTCATTTTTTTTAATTAAAATTTTTATTCTGCTTCTTCCTCTCCATTTTTCTCTCTTTTTTTCTCTTTTTCACCTCCTCTGGGACTTCCATAATGCAAATATAGGTTCTCTCTGTAGTGTTTTAGTATTCACATAGGCCATCTTCAGCTTTATTTTTTTACATGGATGTTTTCAAATAACCTCCCTCTGAGTTGATGTATTCATTTTACTCCTTGATCTTGTCTGCTTTTGAAACTCTTACATTTTTAATTTCATTCATCATTTTCTTCAGCTTCCAAATTTCTGTTTCATTCTTTTTTATGATGTCTTTATTTCTGAACTCTATGGTTTTTTTTCATATTTGCTTGTTCATTATGTTGAGTTCCATATGTAATTGCCTGTGCCTCACTAATGTTTTTGGATTTTTTGTTTTTGTTTTTTAAAGATTTTTATTTATTTTTAGACAGAGGGGAAGGGAGGGAGAAAGAGATGAGAGAAACATCAACATATGGTTGCCCCTTGCATGTCCTCTACTAGGGACCCAGCCTGCAACCCGGGCATGTGCCCTGACTTGGAATCAAACTGCTATACTTTGGTTCATAGTCAGGCGCTCTATCCACTGAGCAACACCATCCAAGGCTCCCACTGATGTTTTTTTAAATGATTATTTGAATTCTTTTTCTTGCAGTTTTTATACCTCCAGTTTTTTAGTTTAATTCATATTAAAATTGTGATGTTTCTTTTGTCACTTTTTTTCATATTTCCCTTTGTCTTAGTGTTGTATGATATTTGATTAAATAGTTACTATTTTTTACGTATGGGCCAATTCTGTTTACAGAAGTGGTTTTTCTGCATATGCATACAATGGTACTTTCTAAGTGCTTTGTTGTATCTGGGGTGATGATGTTTCACTTCCCATTTTTCTTGTAGCCCCATGAGCTAGGTCAGTCTAGTGAAGATTGAAGGATTGATCACTGGGCAGGGCTGCAGCTTCCAACTATTTAGCAATCTCTTCTGGAGTTTGGTGACAGAAAACAGACCACTAGAATTAGTGGTAACCCAAGCGCTGTGTCTCCAAGAAGGTTTTACCCTTGCGTTTTGCATCTAACCTTGTTCGCTAAGCCTACGCTCCGACTCCACTTCATATCATGCTCCACTTTATCGCTCTTTGGAATTACTGGTCTCTTAAGCCTCTCTCTCATTCCTGAAGGGCTGCTGTTTATCATGGATAATTCTCTGATTATTTTGGAAGGGGTAGAATATTTGTATTTTTTCTTCTGCCACCTTGCTGTTATGTCGGGAGCCAACCAGCACCCGTCCCTTCACACGGTCGGGACGGATGAGATGCATCTGCACAGCAGAGGCAACTGTGGCTGGACTTCCTGTCTATCTCTCCTTACATGTTTGTTTTGGTGATTAATAGGTGGTGGGATTTTCAGACACCTGTGTTTCAGGCCAATGATTCACATAATTCCATTGAAGTTGTACAAAATGATTTCTTGGCCAGAGAACAAAGTCCCCCCTAATGAGATAGCCCCTGAATGTTCACAAGTTGATGAGTAACAGCCCCTCCTCTACCTTGGACAGGAATATATACCAATTAGCATTAGACAGACAAAAAAACAGGGGAAGCTAGTTAGCTACTACAAACTAAGCATGAAGAAACAATTACCAAGGAGTCAGAGTCTTTAGTATATAAAGAAACATGTTAGACAGAAAGATAGGTAGCTAAGTTAGACACTACAAAGGCCTCATAGTGATTTCCCATAACCACCGTCCAGTCTAACGTATCCTTGTGACCCGTGCCAAATGCTAAATAAACATTTATTCATCAATGAGACATTTGAAGCTCTGCACATACAGCTATTTCTAATTATCCGACTGATAACTTTCCTAGTCAAAATGACTTTTGTGTAACATGACTGAATTTGTGGAATTTCTTGTATTTTCCCTAGTTACCTCTGTATTTTCCCACTTAACTGGTCATGCCATGCACCTGTTTCCTTAATGATATGTAACAATCCCTATAAAAATAAAGCTTAAGTCAAACTCTGAGAGTTCAGTGGGGCCCTCAGAGGCTGGCTGTTCTCTGGCATCCAATCAGGTGTCTGACTTGTCATTTGTCACCTAGGCCGTCCATCCTTCGGGGACTCTGAACCCTGCCGAGGCTGGACCCCAGCACTGTTATCATTCACATACATCTTTTTCTCTTGGTTGGTTTGTACAGAGTTGTTCATGACAGTGCTGGTTATTCATCTCATCTGTTTTCTCTTTGGAGTTCCATCATCAATATTCCATGTAAATGCTTAATTGGGAGGGAAGTAAAAGAGTCCTTTGTGTACCGCATGGGTGACATGAGTCCAGCCAGTGACAGGATGAGCTCACAGAAGGTGTGGCATTCATAAATGCCCATTGGGGAGAATTTGCTTACATGACATTGTTAAAATATAATGAGGATGTTACAGGAAAAAAAATGAGGAACCTGTTCTCTTTAACTGTATTTTGTCACCATTGCCAGATTTCTTACTGGAAGACAGTGTTTTGTGGATTGTGAATGTGGGAAATCTTTTACCAATAGGTCTTCCCTTTGTGTTCATTAGAAACTTCACACTGAAGAAAGGCCTAATAAAGGCAGTGAATGTGGAAAATCTTTCACCAGTATCTCTGACTGCCGGGGTCCAGCCTCAGCAGGTCTCAGAGTCCCCAAAGGATGGACGGCGCAGGCGACAAATGAAGAATCAGACACCTGATTGGATGCCAGAGAATAGCCAGCCTCTGTGGGTCTGACCCAACTCACAGAGTTTGATTTAAGCTTTATTTTTATAGAGATTGTTATGTGGCATCAAAGGAACAGGTGTATGGCATGATCAGTTAAGCAGAAAAATCAATACAGAGGTAACTAGGAAAAGTACAGGAAGTTCCATAGATTCAGTTATGTTAAACAAAAGTTATTTTGACCAGGAGAGCCATTAATCAGACAACTAAAAA